TTGTACCCATGTAGGGATTCGAACCCGGGTCTTCGGCGTGACGAGCCAACGCTTTAACCACTAGGCTACCCCACCGCACGTGGGTGAGGCTGAGGCTGCTTAAACAGTATTCCAGTTACATCAGGTTATATCAGCTTCATGTGGGAGGCAATCCTGAAGTGAAGTGTCGGATGTTGATCTCTTTGGTGAATCTCAACAGTAGAACATAAATCTAGGCGAATCAGGATTCAGTCCCACACATAGGAATGTTCCATGCTTGCCCAAGGGAGGCAACTCTGCACAGAAAAATGCACTTGGCCACTCCTACCACAACAGCAAATCCAAGCACCAAAGTCTTCAGGGCCACTCCATCCATTAAGTGTGTCAATACGCACATACAAAACACAAACACAATCTGTTGTTAAGTCATTTTATTTATTTCAATTATTTTATTATGATTTGAGTAACAAGTTTCAAGTGATATAACATTGATATAAATCAGTAAAATCCATTTTGATTGAGCTATGATACATGTGGTTATTTACATATATGTTCGTTATGTATAATAATATATGTATAGGTTTTGTAGACAGCTTGTCTCTGGCGCCATATTGCGGAGGTAATATTCCTCATATGTACATATCGAGTGTCAGCGTCATCAGTATCACATGTGCATTATGTGCAGTATATGCAGTTTTTAATTCTCTTGGCGTAATGGGCATATAACAAAAATATTACATGCAGATAGACATTTAAACATATCAATGTACATAAAAAACAAACTCTGGTCTGCAATGACCAAAAAATAATATTCTATAATCTGTGAAGGGTTTTTGTACACAAAATGATTGTTATGATAACATGTATTAAGAATTACAGTATATCTTTTCAATAAAATATACTCTATAACATTATACCTTTGTATCACATACATACAAAGATATTAATTATTCCAGACCTATTCACATTTACTGAATAAATAGTTCCAAGCTTTATATTCATCATAACCAACACAATACTCCACTGATAAATACCTGAGTATATTTTATAGTGTATATATAAATAACTATTTCTATTTGAAAATTGAAATATATATTCTACTTCTACAAAATGAGGTTTAAATGGTGGACTGGCTAAGAACATTCTACTGAGTTTCCTTACAAGGCATCACAGTCAGCATGCGGAATAGATGACTACTTACAGTGCACTGTGTATCTTTGTGATCCATCTACAGTCACACATTGTATCAGAACTGTCACATACATCATATATTCTTGTAGGAATTATTTTCAAATATCAGCGCCAATATAATATCCTTTTCCTTTGCTCTATGCCACCTTGCAGTTTACAACAGTCCTGTTTTAATTTCTGTATTTTCTGTACTGTCCCCAAAACCTTAATGAGAAATGGGGAGATAACTCTAACCACACTTTGGTGTTCTTTTACCATATTCAGATATATAACTGCCCTGCTCCAATAAGCACAGATAACAAACTTCTTGATCAGTATGAAAGCAATCTTATAAAACCCCAGTATAACTATGAGATTTAAAACAAGAGTCCTTACTTTCTTTAGTTTCTTACAGACTCTTTAACAGCAGCAAAGAAGCTACATAGCAGACCTGTTGTTATCATCCAAGAAATTTGTTTGAACTAAGCTTTTTCAATCTCTGACAAGAATTGAAAGTGCTTGTACAATGTTTCATTAAGTGCTTCCAGGGCTTATATTACACTGAATATGGTATGGCTATTGACCATCAGTGTCTTTGCTGTGTACCAAAACTTCTGAAGAAAAACAAAAATGTAAAAACAACTTCTTGTCCACCCTTTCTCAAGTTGATATTATATGTGCCAATGCAATGGTCTAGATCCACTTTGTCCCATCAAAATACATAAACTGAGTCATCAAACTAGCAGTATTTTGTAACATAAATATAATGACTAAAATACTCAATTGGAAAAAAAGATAAATGATCACTGATCCTGAGCAGTAAATGGTGAGCTCGTTTAAATATCTACTCCATTATATAACGGATAAATAATAGCCACATCACTGTGAATAGTTTACTGGAAAGCAGTACCAGAAAAAGTCAGACTGCAGCATATATTCTGCACCAACTAAATTCAAAATGTTATTATAACATATTAAGTGCTTGGGAACAAATACCAATATTTAATCATGGAAACATCAACGATTGGACAATGATCTTATGGTTATTATTTGCACTTATACTCAAGATTTGTACATATATGGAATGGCGTAGTTTATGTCTGATGCGAGGTATTTGATAAGTAGTTGATTATACAGTATGTGTATCACAGATTAGCGGAGCCATTATGCAGGTTAGTTGTAGGTAATCTATACCACTCAGCTGTTGATAAGGATACATACAGTCCATACAGTATATTTGATTGCATGAGCAAGATGTGACACCACTTTTAACACAGTTCAATGTATATCATGGTGGGTCCGTTTAACAGAGGAGGAAAGCCGAAGGTGATGGATGGACGTCTCTGATATTTACCACTGTAGTGAAACCTGCAACTAGAGGTATGATGTTGGCAAACCTGACTCTAATTCTAACGATCTGAATCTGGGATTAGACTGACTGACTGACTAAGTTTGGTTTTACGCCGCTTTTAGCAATATTCCAGCAACATCACCGCGGGGGACACCAGAAATGGGCTTCACACATTGTGCCCATGTGGGTATTCGAACCCGGGTCTTCGGCGTGACGAGCCAACGCTTTAACCATTAGGCTACCCCACCGCCCCTCTGGGATTAGAACTCGCTACCATAGGTTTCTGGCATCATTAATGGTACACAGCTACCTTCAGACACATGATGCGGCTTTCCTGGCTCTCACCTGTCACTAGTGATCAGTTCGGGATATTGCATTCATAAGACTATCCTTAACAACAGATGAGCAGTATAATACCAGTGTAGGTATGTACCAACCTATGATCACAAACTGAGAAAAAACAAACAAGCTTGTCTTGGCAGCAGGTGCTGGCATGTTAACTAATATCAATCACATATAATGTCCAAAGAATCTTATGATGGCGCTGGGGACATCTTCTAACCTGGAATCTTAGAATCCCCACCAACACAGTCTTGTGAAGATACATGCACAGACCCATGACAAATACTCACAGTTTGAATGAGGACTCAGTCCTGGAACATTAGCATATGAGCCTATCACTTGAGTGAGTGAGTGAGTGAGTGAGTTGGGTTTAATGCTGGTTTAACAGTAATCCAGGTACATCACAGTATGTCAACCAAACCTGGGAGTATGGTGTAACGTGATGCAGTTTACAACTTTGGTGAGACCTATGATCACTGGTATGGTGGCACCAACAAACAATGTGGGGAAGCCAGCATTCAAACTCATGATCAAACCTTTCCAGCATGCCCAAGGGCCACAACTCACCACAGATAATTGTGGCAGATCAGGTGACTGGGCCACCTAGGTTCCCCTTTCATCAGTTGATGGCCTACCATAGTCAAACGCACACAGTGTATCGGTTTAACAAAAGGCATTTATACACTGACTAGACCTACACCCAAACTGGGCACCAAACCAGTGAACACCACATCCTGAAGCATACTACACCTTTAAGTGTTTTAAAAAGGAATAGGAAATTTTAAGATTGAAAACCAATATAAAAAATTACAGCCTCCTCCCATCTATACAAAGCAACATTAGACAAATAATCAATTTGTTGATTGAAATGGAACTATCAAAGATTAGTATATCTGCAAAAACAAAGATACAGCCTTGTTGATATTCCCTCTCAGTTTGTGGAGATAGTTTGGTAAATCCCTGTACAGAATGCTGAGTATATAGTATCAAGCACGTAATACTTCCAGCTTATTTCTCATCAATGTACACAATATAAATACATATCTTACTGTATCACGGTTCAGCTACTACCTTCAAAAATAATTTATGATGAATGGAATTTTATTGTAACATAAAAGTTAACACGATCATTCGATTGAGAGGATTTGTGAAAGTGAAAATCTTCAAAATCATAACTTTGTTCATAACTTTAGACCCGAGCAGTTAAGGATACCATATTTGTTAATGTTAAAGTGCAAAGCATGATACAGTGCAGGTTAGGAAACAGATTCTCCAGTCCCCTGTGTTAAAACTCTGTTGAGAAAACACTACAGAGCATGCATGTATTGAGAATTGATCCTAATAACGAATATTGTATAAATCTGAAAATAAAATTACATTATGTGACAACTGGCCATCCTTTCTAAAGAGAGGTGCATTATATGTATATATGAAGACTATAAATAAATATATCTTAGAAGAATTAATTTGTCCTGACATATTTTACCAATGAACATAAATTTTGTGAAGACAGTTCTGAGGGTACTGCAACCTTGTAACAGAGTTATTCCCCTTGGACCATCAGCCATGGCAATTTAATCATTGTGTATAAAAAGTCCAAGCATGCATGGCAGTCTTAAACCACCATCATCCACTTGACTTTCAGTTAAAACCAAACAAAAAGAGAAACTTGATTAGAACAAAAATAAGTATGAAAATTATTCGCTCAAAATTAAATTTGAAATCTTAGGCTGCTCACCGAATCCTTGTTCTTCAACATGACCAAATCAATGCCAAAAGAATAAGAGCTATGAGACAATGATAAAATGAACACATTCAGTAATGATTAAAAACATTCACAAATGTAATTACATTGATAACCAAAAACCTGAAGCAGGATGAATTGATGATATGACTCACAGTAATGAAATATACCTTGGATATTCATTGCCCCCTTGAGAAGCCACAACAGACTCAATATGACATAAATACAATTACATACAAAATGCGATGGCTCCATTATACTTAATGATACTGCTCAAAAACGTTAAGGAATCTTCTAAATTACTATAGGTAACGTGTCAGTAAGTATTGTAATATGGAACAATTCAATGTAGTGATTGGCACATACATTACCAGTAACCATAGTAATATGAGGATTTGAATGGAACAGTTTTTGGCAGTACATGTTTTTGTGCAGAAAGATCCAAGAATCTGTTTCACAGAGCAATCTTTGCACAATTGAAAATAGGTCTTTGTTAAATTATAGGGAAAACAACCACAGTGCTACTACAGCTTTGTGAAGCTGGGTCTGGTCTATGGTGATGGGTGTCCATCATAAAGCTGTCAAACAGGTCATCTCAATAGAAGACAAGGGAACAAAATGTCATATCAAATCTATTGTGGCTTTTCATTAATCTGTTGAAATACTTGACAGGCTTTGTGAGAACATGCAGGAACCGTTAAACATGCGTTATAATGTCGTACTGCCTAGGCATGCAGTGTTAGTTTGTACTGGTCCATGTGTTATAATGTCGTACAGCCTAGGCATGCAGTGTTAGTTTGTACTGGTCGATAATGTTTATAGTCACCGACAACAAAATAGCAGCAGTAAGCAGAACATAAACTAGAATGTCCCTCATAAACGCAGGGAGAAGGACTCATCTGAAACACACAAGTCAGTCACATTTAAAACACTGTGAAAATAAGCTGAGAGAAAACAAAGGAAGAAGAATTAATTCCAGATGTGTTAACATGGCTTGTTATATGTCCTTTAAGCCTGCACAGAACTGATCCTGAACCATGTTATACCACAGAACCACAAGTTCGCACATTTATAGCTTTATGAAATATATGCTGGTGTAACCCCATGAAATCACCGTAATCAAAGAATATCTGTAAATGTTTGCAATACATCACACTAAACTTTCTCAGAATTTGTATGGTGTAATTGTATTCATAAACTTTATGGCTGCCTTGAGAATGAGACTTAACCAATGATGGACCAGATAAATATTTCATGTAGTGACTCTTCTAAGTCTGTGACAGTTGAATAAAGGACACATACCAAGAATCTCAACTTAAAGAAAAATGAGAAAATATTAACAAAACATAAAAATTAGTGTTTGTTAAATTTAAAGGCAGTGAAGAGAATATAGATGATCTGTTTAAGGAACAGTGTACAACTACACTACTCAAAAAGTGAAGGGCCATCGGATTCTTTCATATTGCAACAGTGAATCTGATACTAACTACAGTAATGTGCAAATTGTTCTCAACTTTTTTTGAGTAGTATTCATGAATGACAGATTAACAACAATAATATGAAAGAATCAAGTATCCCTATATTTTTTGGAGCAGTATATTTTGTAAAACAATGTTAGATAATCTTGAATATGTTCAACAAGACAAAACAGATCTGGGTTTCCTAGTTGCCAAACTATTGAGAAGTTGAAGTTGAAATACTTTTTACATATTGTAAACCCATCCAAACCAGTGAGATATAATCCACAAAATTCAACCTTTGACTGTGACGCTGAGTTAAAGATACTATTTACACATATACATCTAAACACATTATATGTAATCAGACTTCCGTCAGATAAAATAGGATGATCCCTATCAAAGGTTGAATAGAATAGATTGAATTTCATTGGCTCGTTTGTATTACAAGAAAAACCTTTCCATGTAGACTTCACACTATAGTGATTCAAGGGATTGAACTCTGCTAAAAAACACAGCTGTAAAGGTGACAATGTCTGCTTATTCAAGAATCCATACACCTCACACCACATACCTTACAAGGAAAAAAATCATTTCAGTTAGTTTTGAATGGATTCAGAACTCCGTGAGCTATTTCGCAAGCTTAAGAAATAATGTTTGATCAGAAAGTATGTTTCCATACAATTACGTTTAATGATAAAACCATCTGTGTGTGAACATCACAGAACAGATACGGAACTGAATGTAGGATTGTCAATAGAAATGAAGAACAAAATATGTCCGTGGTACGTAGACCCTGCTTCAACGTTGGCCTGGTCATCAGTGCGAGGATCTCCAGTACCAGGGATCAGGCATTGCATATTTCAGCTATTTCAGACAGATGTTACCGTACTTGACAAAATAAATGCTCTGTACTGGTCTCAATAACTTGTGAAAGGTAATACATGTCATCAAATACAAATCTTCTATAGTGATAAAGTACCTTAACAGGTTCAGTCGAGGTAAGCCTTAAAAAATCGGTTTCTCCTAAATTTCGTGACAAAGATCCATCATGTTTTAGGTGAGTGTGTAGAAACACACAGGTAATAATCTCTTTATCCAAAGAATATGCCTCAAAAGAATAATCATCAAAATAATATTCTCTACTCAAAAGAAGTCAAGGATTACTCGATTCTTTCATAGCATGAAGCAATCAAGAGTCTTATATTGGTGACACATGACCTGTAATAATTGAAAGAATTGTGTAGCCCTTAACTTTTACTGAGTAGCATATTAGATCATTCTTGTAATGGCAAATGACATTGGTTCATCAAACTGGTTTATCACATGACTAACTCTACTTACTATTCCATAAAACAAGTCATTAAACTGGTAATTCCTTGTACTGGTATTGTTGCTTGTAAACATTTTTTTGGTCAGAGAAAATCCACATGTTGACTGAAATTTGATGTTCCTAAACAAAATCATGCATGACGATATAGAAAAACAAAACATTGAAATACATCAACTAAATAAGAAAAGTTCATTTCTACGATTTTTCACCTTGCGCAAACCTTTCAGAAGTTAATTTCAGTTATCCAGCAACAGAATATCTATAACAAAGAGCAGTCATTATGTCAAATACGGTAAGGTATGGGAGTAGGAAGAGGTCACATGGGTTATGAATAACAGACACATTAATTACTTTTTAACTCTTTGAGTGTTTTCAAGAGGGTGCTGAGGAGTGAGGCGAGGTTTGTGGCCTGTCGCATGAGATATTTCATATGAGGGTCCGTAAGGGGTTTCCCGCACGCCGCGTTTGCTGCATTCAAGGTACTTTTGAATGAATTGGATACTTTAATGACTTCAAAGCCGAGGTGCTGTGCTTGATGAACGGACTGCATCATCAACATAACGGCTTGACTGTGGAGGAAGAGCTTGGCTAGCGTGTGAATGCCCTTGTCTAAATTCACAGCCAGTTTCTCCTTCGTGTGAGTAGCACTACTGACTAAAAGTTTTGCATCATTGACGAAATGTCTCGTTTGGCTGATAAGCTCTTCACGACACATTTGAAATTGTTTTTGACTACGGTCTATCCTTGAAGCTTTTAAGGATTCCATTGTGGTTTTTAAGTCTGTTAAAAGTCTTTCAACATCGCTTGTTGCCTTGTCAAAATCTTCCACTCCGTAGGAATGTGACACAACATATTTCACTGAATCTGTCACACTGCCACTAACAAGTGAATAACTCTCCTCTGAAATTGAAGATCTCCTCAAAATTGGGGGTGGCTCAGTCTTTGGGACACTATAGTCTGATTTGACACTCCCATTCAATTTTGAGAATTCTGTATCCCTCGATGTGGTATCAGAATAATCCGGCTGGGTTTCATCTTCAAATGATATTGTCTTTTTTAACTTCACAGGCTCTTTAGGAAGAGAATCAGTCTTATCAAGTTGCTTCAACTGAGATGCCATGTCACGGAAGTCATCAAAACTCTGGTACACCTCGTCATCTTTAATTGAGCTTGTTGTCATAGACAGAGGGCGCCACATTTTCACTGTTGCGTAGGGATTGGCTTTAATTTTATCTCTGCTCTTTTTACTTAACATACTACTGTCATCCTTGCTCTGAAATTTCTTGCTTTTTGATTGGTCAGTTTTGGACTTGGCAGAGTGACCTCCCCTTAACCAGGTGCCTCCCTTTTCAGTCTTTTCTTCAGAACCAAAAACTGAAGAGAGGGCTTTTAAAGGACCACTCCTCTTGGATTTACTCTGAAAATACAAGAAAGAAATATTTACAAAAAAATTCAACAACATTCAAAAAAGTGTATGCTGAAAGCAAGTGAAACAATGTAAGGTGAATTACTTCCACAACCACGTAGATTAACAAGTCACACAAGCAAAGTTTACACAGAAAATTACCAAAGCAAATATCTATTAAGAAAGAGATCTGGAAAGACTCATAAATAAATGTAGAAAGAATAGGATTAATTCAGAAATGATCTTAACTTGTACATTTAATGCCTTCAATAGTTACTAGAGAAGATGAGCCACCAAGTGCACTTACTAACACACAAAACCAACATCAAATTTATTATGGTTAGAAGTGATCAGTAATTTGAGCCATTTCCATGACAACTGTTAATTGCATGTCAAATTAGACAATACATGGTGATATTTGTTAGGTACGTGAACCAACCTTGTGAAATGTGATAGTCGTGAGCTACATGCCATTCCCAGCCTTAACTACAAACATTTACACCACTCTTTGAGGTAGGGCATGTATTCAACTTCAAGAAAAACCTTTCAGTTTCATCAGAGACCATATAATATGTGGTCTCTGGTTTCAAGCCATTTTTAGCAATGATACAACCTTATTTATACAAGGGGACACCAGAAATCCGACGTCTTTCACAATTAAATCGGGTATTTCCTATCTGTGTGCATGGGCGTGTGTGTGCATGTGTCTGTGTGTGTATGTGCATGTGTGTGTGTGTCTGTGTGTGGTCTATTGCCACACTCAGCTGTATTCAAGATGTGTGACAGAAGCCTTCAAATAATCAAGACTTGACGAGACAGTCCAGTGATCAATACTCAACATATCGATCTGAGCTCTTGGGTAACACTGACACACCACACTGGGGACCAGTTCCACAGTCCAAGTGGGGGACCAGTTCCAGAGTCCCAGTGGGGACCACGGTATTCTAAATACAACTGTCATCCAGTTTAATCAATTAAAACTATTTACTTATCGTAGTTTTTTCAACCAAATATAAAATTAAAAGACAAATTATTTTAACCCATCCAAAGATAATACCTAGTCCTGCAATATATAGGGAATCTGTTTACAGCTAATTTGTGCTAAAACTATGGGACATAATGACTTCAACAAACCTTCCACCTGTAATGGTAGTTCCCTATAGACATGCAGGACAATGTCATCACATATCTTATATGTTGTCTTTATGTAGTATTCACAAACTATTCAACAAAGTGATGTTGGTGCTACTATAACAACCGTTATCTAACACAGATCTAAAATAGTCTTTGAGCTAACATTGCTTTTTTGGATTGAAACCAAGAACATTCTGTCTGAGTGAGTGAGTGAGATGGGTTTCCTTCCACTTTGAAATGCGTTCCAGTTATATCATGTCATGTCAACTTAATGAAGAGAGAAAGCTCACAGTGATGCAGGTGTCAACATGGTGCATATTTTCCACTTGGTACGGTGCTCACAAACTAAGAAACATAATTGGTCAAACTGGCATTCGAACCAATGGGCACAGGCATGTCCTACTGTGTGGCTACAGGTTGGAAACATACCAGCTGTACTGCACAGGCCCTCGTGTCTTTGCGAGGATTAAAGATTTTATAAAATATATACAAAAATTTGAGATGACCCCCGACTCGAAATGCTTCACAGTATAATACATTGACATGGCCGGACACTTTGGTACACCCTACCCGACTGCTTTGCCAATCGCTACGCTACCATCGCATGCAATCAATTAAAATTTAATGTAAACATAATCATGGATGATTGGCCTATCGAGCACCACTCATGACACCTTCCAATTCTTTATTGTTATTTCTGCAAGTCGATTGAAACCCGATTTTGACTCTCAACTAAACGATCTTGACACAAATGGCTGACGATATATCCGCACAAAACGGGGGTGTGGTCGAAGCAAGCCCTCTGGTTGGTCAACACTCCTAAATCTGCACATTCTATACAAATTCTCGGGAATTTTTACTTTATCGACTGCTTGACTTGGAAGAAATGTAAGATTTTTTTCCCAGCAATGGCTTCTCAAAAGAAAGCATCATTTCTAAATTTCTCCTTAACAAATCTCTTCCCTTGAGATAATTTATCATCCTGTACACAACTACAATGCATAAACTATATTTCTACAACAGTGATAAATGTAAACGTTCCCCTATCCTACAATCAGTTTGCAATGCAATGTGTGCTCCATAACTGTTTCTGACAGCCCAAAGTCCTCACAGAGAAGAAAACAAACTAGGTTGAGCGGAATGATTCCCATTACATGTTCCCATGTCAGATGCAACATGTCACCTGTAGGTATAAACAATGACATAAACCGCTGGCAGTCCAAGCTGACTGGAATATAGAGGAGGGCCTTGTTGTAGAATCACTGGACCTACTCAGCAACAGCATGTGTTTTCATGTCATCTGTAACTCATGTGCTAGGAATACCATGTGAAAACATGTGTTTACTTGGCTTGTAGAGACGGGACATGAAATCAATGTAGTTAGTTCAGATTTTAGAGATTGAGGAAGTGTTTCTGAGGAAAATTTATTTACTTTGCCTGTCAAGTATCAGGCTACACACTCCATGAAGTTTGTTGAGATTTTAAAGATTGAGGAAATGTTTATGAGGAAATTTTATTTACTTTGCTTGTTAAGTACCAGCCTACAGACTTCGTGCAGTTTTTAAGATTTTAAAGATTGAGGACATTTTTATGAGGAAATTTTATTTACTTTGCTTGTTAAGTACCAGGCTACACAATTCATGCAATTTGTTCAAATTTCAAGACTCTAGGCTCAAGAATTCTTTCTGAGGAAAATATCTTTTACCTTATTAAGTAAGAAGAGACACAATTCATGCATTTAGTTTAGATTTCAAGACTAGCCTCAAGAAATGAAACAATTTCATTATGATAATATTATCTTCCATATAACTAATATTTCAAATAAAATAAAAATAATTTATGTTTCAAAACACTGATATTTCGGACATCATCCCCAAGATGTAACGAAGAAACATACCACTATGCCAGAGATTCCTCCTCAAATGACCTACAGCCACAATATAGAGAACACATGACAGACTCTTCTGATGTATTTACATCCCTAGAGATGTTCACCATCAATCATTCTGATCACCCTCATTCATATCACACCTTCAGCCAGGCTGTTATACAATCGTATCCACCACCTGTGCTGATCACTTGTCATTGATTATTGATGGGTGTCAATCAAAGCGACAAACAGGTGCTGTCTTGTCACAGTTATAATGTAGCAGTTTATCATACTTGACAATGTAGCTGGACAGTGACATGGTTGGACCGTTTAACACTGAACATGGTATACATGACATGTGCCATCGGAAAAATGTTAAAGAATACCCAATATTTATATCAGTAGCTATTCTGACATGATAGATGAATGATAATTGTATGAATAAATCGGGCATTCCTTAACTCTTTTGAGTGGTATAGAATGTTTGTTGTTTGTTGTCATACTCAGCAGTTTTCAAGCTATATGATGACAGGTGTACATAATCAAGTCTGGGCCAGACAGTCCGTGACTGACATTGCTAGCACAGCCCCATGCCTGACCCGATCCATTAAATGCATCTTAAGTTTGTCTGTTTGTTGTTTAACACCACACTCAGCAATATTCCAGCTATATGGCAGCTGTCTGCAAATAATCAAATTTGGACCTGATAATCCAGTGATCAACAGCATGAGCATCGACCAATGCAATTGTGATACAATGACACGTGTCAACCAAGTCCGCTGACCACCCGATCCCGTTAGTCGCCTCTTACGACAAGCATGTGTTACTGGGGACCTGTTCTAGCCTGGAATCTTCACATGGATCATAGAAGGCATGCACTTATCCTTGACAGTACATTTTCCACGATCACAACAAAGACAAACATCATTACAAGTGAGTGAGTGAGTGAGTTTGAGTCTTCAGCATCACCACAATGATTAACTCCAGAAACATGCTTCACACACTGAACACAAGTGGGTATGAACCCAGGTCATTAACAATACTACAACCACCAGACTAAGGTCATTAACAATACTACAACCACCAGACTAAGGTCATTAACAATACTACAACCACCAGACTAAGGTCATTAACAATACTACAACCACCAGACTAAGGTCATTAACAATACTACAACCACCAGACTAAGGTCATTAACAATCATTAACAATACTACAACCACCAGACTAAGGTCATTAACAATACTACAACCACCAGACTAAGGTCATTAACAATACTACAACCACCAGACTAAGGTCATTAACAATACTACAACCACCAGACTACCCATCTACCCCACATAATGTAAGGAAACTGTGTCTTTTGATGAACTAATTAGACAAAAGGTACGTAAAGAGAGGAAAACAACTGTTAACAAGTATCACATCCAGAGCAAATCTACTCTCTCATCAATCACCTCATAAATGTTACAGCTGTGAAACCTAACAAAGATACTGACTTTCTTGTGAAATACAACCTCGTAACAACTTCACCAGGTCAGTCTACAATCGCGTGATGTGTTTAAATGTTACCCTCCAATTCAAACTAAACATTATCAATGAATTACTTTTACCAAGTGAGTGAGTGAGTGAGTGGTGTTTTTCTCTGCCTTGTACAGAATTCTGATTACATCACGGTTTGTCTGCAGCATGTGTAAGGGGAGTGAGTGAGTGAGTGAGTTTAGTTTTACACTGCACTCAGCAATATTCCAGCTATATGGCGGCAGTCTGTAAATAATCGAGTCTGGACCAGACAATCCAGTGATCAACAGCATGAGCATCAATCTGTGCAATTGGGAACCGATGGCATGTGTCAACCAAGTCAGTGAGCCTGACCACCCGATCCCGTTAGTCGCCTCTTACGACAAGCATGGGTTACTGAAGATCAATATTCAAACCCAGATCTTCACTGGTATGTGTAAGGGGAAGACACAGAGACTGTAGACAGTCGCCACGAGGAGAAATTGACACCCTTGGATATAGTGGTGACACCTAGCAACGTGAAGAACTCGATACACTCGATAAGTTGACTTGTGATCCAAACAGCTAACTACCTCGCTGTGATATCTGCACCTGAATGACTGATGGGTTAATCGGGCTGTTCCTTAGCTTACTGAACATTTATAGGAAACCCTTCTGTCATCAATGATCTTAATGATCCAGTCACCTTCTCTTAAAGTTATTTGAAGTACACTCATCACTAGCCAACACTAACAGTTCTTAGTACATACATACATGTCATCTCAAATCTACATGAAGCTTTTCTCTAAAACCTGATAACTGAATATTTGTTTCATCGACAGTACTTTCAAGTCTTCGTATCAAAATATATTGTCTTTACCAGATCATTAAGAAAGAAAGTTTTTTAAAAGACTGAGCGAGGATTGTTTCAACAGTGTTCCAGTTATGTCAGATTAATATGGATGACAGTCTGAAGTAATTCAGATCTCAGACATATATATGGGATCTGAACCCAGGAACAGAGGATTCTGGTATGTGTAAGGGAAGCAACTCCACACAGCAAAGAGAAACACTTTAAAGAACTGGTACACCCATTCCTATTTCACAACTGTACTGACAACTGTTATTGTCCCATTGATAATAATAGTGCATATTTATAATGCACACATATTCACGCTTGTAAGCGTAGCCCATTAACACAGCATTTGTGATTTACAGGACTCCCATTGCACACATCAAATGTGAACAGTATTATTTCTTATCAGTGAAGTCTGCCATCAAGGTATTTCTATCACCAAATCTCTAGAGAGTGATTGTGTTTGGAGTGTTTGCACAAGCTGATCATTTATAACTTTTTCAGTCAAACTTTGACACCAAATGCCATTTAGAAAGTGGTTAAATGTAACATATCTTACATTTGACACCAAACACTTGATGCAGAATATACTGCTGACAGAGCCCAAACCAAATACAGACCCTCTGGCTCATCTTCCACTGACAGCCCTCACAGATGTATATCTCTTGTTGTGTTTCAAGTAGTTCAAGTAATATGGAGTTAGTACCTACTATATCATCATCAGTGTTTAATGATACAGTATACAGTGACGCCTGGTTAGACATATGTGGCTGCAGTACATATATACTCCCTTCTTTATTACGCTTCATATTCCTATAAAATACGTATATTAAATGAGAAACCCTGAGAAAATTTAATGATTTTTATTTTTTTAATATTTCAAACTACCTTTGACAGAAAACAAATATTTCATTTCAGAAAATATAATCTGCCTATTCTGAGATCATACCACACTATCTGCTGATATCTGGAGCACTCAGTCTCAGCAAACATTAGTCAGTACTTACAAACTACTTTCATAGAAATCACTTGAAAGAAGGTCATCAAAGTTTCTGAATATAACATACCAGGCTCCTACACTATGTCCACGAATAATGGCCACCGCCTTAACAGTGAGGTGTCATATTACACATGAAGAAATGACATTTTTTCTAACCAGATTTCACAATTATCCCCGAGAAAATATCATTTATTAATAATTAATATAATTCACAAATACAAGTACAAAATCATAAATCATAAATATTGAGCTTCATGTAGAACAAATTTTAACATTTAAAACCCAGATGGTGAGTTCACCCTACCTTGAACATGGTGAAGGATGTCACAGTTTCAACAGAAAACCACTCATCAGTAAACAAAAAAGTCTGTCCGTAAGTCAGCTGATATGGTCCAGAAACCACGGGGAATGTCGTTTCCAGTAATTCACGTCATTTTGTGAATGAGGTCCCGAGTCCCTCTCAACAGGAGCTGTTGACTCTATCAGTCGTCCAGCTCCATCTGCTATGCGAACATAGAGGTCGCCACTTCACCTATGTGTGACTTGATTTACAACCTTTCCAGACGGTGCAGTGACCCACGACTACCTCGGTATAACATAGTCCGTACCTTCTACAATCATCACAACTCTACTAAGCTTTCTGAGTCAGATGCATCACAGATTAACTCGGCAGAAATGAATTTCAATTCCAGATTGTGACTGGCTTGAAACTGAGACGTGACTGAAATGTCATGGTATAACGATGACAAAACTTCAAGACCTCTTACCTGTTTGTTTGACAACCTATTGCATACCAAGGTTGTAGAAGTTTTACGTTTATCGCACGGCTTGTAAATTATCCCGAACTTGAATATATCTCCAGAAAGCAAACAGTGTTCCTTCTCTGTCAGTATCCGGGTGTACACTGAACCTGGAGGATGGCTTGGGGGGAAATAGGCCAAGAATTTAGGCAGAGCAGGGTGGAGTTTGTGGCTGGCCCAAAATTTAAAAGCAATCTCTCAGTTTGAATAGAAACAGGTTATCATGGACTAGCTGGTCTTTTCAGAAGAGAGGGAATGTTGACTAGAAGGCTGATCCCTACAGGGTATTGTACTGACAGAAGACAATGGGCGTCCCTCCCCCAGGGAGGCTGAAGATTGCAGTCTTTGTGGGGGAACAATTCAACCTGCAATCATTTGAGGGACGCACTGAGCTTATACACAATCATATTATGTAACAATATCTTAACAACTAACTACTCTACTTGTTCTCATCTGAGTAGAACCTGTTCTCTCTTCAGTTTCCCACTAAACATTATCCTTCATCAGGTCAGTCTCCCATGCAGTACAACCCCTTCATCAGGTCAGTCTCCCACTCAGTACAACCCCTTTATTAGGTCAGTTTCCCACTCAGTACAACCCCTTCTACAGGCCAGTTTCCCATTCAGTACAACCCTTCTTCAGTTGTTCTCAGTCTGAGTAGAACCTGTTCTCTTCCCATTCAGTTTCCCACTAAACATTATCCCTTCATCAGGTCAGTTTCCCACTCAGTACAACCCCTTCATCAGGTCAGTTTCCCACTCAGTACAACCCCTTCATCAGGTCAGTTTCCCACTCAGTCTAACCCCTTCATCAGGTCAGTTTCCCACTCAGTCTAACTCCTTCATCAGGTCAGTTTCCCATTCAGTACAACCCCTTCTACAGGCCAGTTTCCCATTCAGTACAACCCTTCATCAGGTCAGTTTCCCACTCAGTACAACCCCTTCTACAGGCCAGTTTCCCATTCAGTACAACCCTTCATCAGGTCAGTTTCCCACTCAGTACAACCCTTCATCAGGTCAGGTTCCCACTCAGTCTAACCCCTTCATCAGGTCAGTTTCCCACTCAGTACAACCCTTCATCAGGTCAGTTTCCCACTCAGTACAACCCCTTCTACAGGCCAGTTTCCCATTCAGTACAACCCCTTCTAAAGGGCAGTTTCCCATTCAGTACAACCCTTCATCAGGTCAGTTTCCCACTCAGTACAACCCTTCATCAGGTCAGTTTCCCACTCAGTACAACCCTTTCATCAGGTCAGTTTCCCACTCAGTACAACCCTTCATCAGGTCAGTTTTCCACTCAGTACAACCCTTCATCAGGTCAGGTACAGTGCATTATGTCACTGTCAGTGTAATCTCCCAGTGCAAGAAGTCAACAAAGCTTCAACACTCACAACACGGCAGAGTCAGGACAGACCAACAACTATTGACATGAGACATGCTCCAGTTGAAACCTGATATGCAGCTCATGACATGTGACGCCATGACAGTCCACGCAGTGCAAGCCTGTGTAAGTGTCTTCTTTTCACACAGTAATACCTAGAGCATGCACACTCCCATATACAAACATTGACAGAGAAGCAAAATTGTACATTTAAAAAAATGGATGTTTTGAAGCAGTGATAAAGAAATAGTTTGTCTCCCCAAAAATTATGTATGCAATAACTGGTATTTCACACAACAGGTTGGTTTGTGATTAAAAATAACAAGCTAACTGGTATTTCATACTTTCTGTAATTATAACTATTCCAACATTTACACTCACACAGAATTTAGATTTGTGACACGTCATAATTCCTACTTTCATGAGACAATACCTTTCGTGCACAAAATATTCCACATCATGGAATAACAACATTATATCCTGGACAGGGTAGAGAACCTAGAACCAATTCCATGAAGTTTGGCAGTACTTTGTCACACCTTACTATCCAGATACATATCACCATCTTACTATCCAGATACATATCACCATCTTACTATCCAGATACATATCACCATCTTACTATCCAGATACATATCACCATGTTACTATGCAGATACAGTTTACGCCGATACTTTACTATCCAGATACTTTACTATCCAAATATCCATTGTGTAACCACCTGACCTAGCTATCCAGACATGTATCACATCACCACCTGACTATCCAGACACTTATCACATCACCACCTGACTATCCAGACATGTATCACATCACCACCTGACTATCCAGACATGTCATCACATCACCACCTGACAATCCAGACATGTATCACATTACCACCTGACAATCCAGACATGTATCACATCACCACCTGACTATCCAGACATGTATCACATCACCACCTGACAATCCAGACATGTATCACATCACCACCTGACTATCCAGACATGTATCACATCACCACCTGACTATCCAGACATGTATCACATCACCACCTGACTATCCAGACATGTATCACATCACCACCTGACTATCCAGACATGTATCACATCACCACCTGACTATCCAGACATGTATCACATCACCACCTGACTATCCAGACATGTATCACATCACCACCTGACAATCCAGACATGTATCACATCACCACCTGACTATCCAGACATGTATCACATCACCACCTGACTATCCAGACATGTATCACATCACCACCTGACTATCCAGATATACATGCAACCAAAAATGATTGTACCAATCAAAAGTCAAGTAGCATGAAAACTGAAGTACTGATAATGGGAGGCAGTAATACATAGTTAACCACTAGCTGTAAACATAGAGTAGATAAATATAGTGGGGATCAGGACATTATTCACAATTTCTCCACTTAATGAAACAAGATGAACAGGGTGCTGCTGAAATTACCAGTTACACCGGGACACAGCATCATGAGGGTGGGACCCAGACTCCATCAGTTTTCATCAGTGTTGTGTATGTGGGAAATACCAAGGTTATACCACAGCTGGCTGATATCACACTATAGTACTCATATGGGAAGGTTCTGCAGACAAAATAATGCCCTATTTTATAATTCTGACACATAGAAATTTGCACAACATGACTGGTTGATTTAGACCCATTGTCAGTCAAGTGGATTTTATAAATGTGACATCATGATAATAGCAGTTATAATGTCCAATCCTTGTTACAAAGCAATAAAGCATGATAAGAGACCCGACACCTCTCCTGAACCAACCATGCATAACATACACAAACTGTTTTTCTATAAATTGACAAGGATAATAAATGATACAAGATGAATGATTGCCAAAGATGACTATGTTGAGAAAAAATCTAGTACTTTGAAAAAAGTATCATATTAAAGATACCTGAAAGAAAATGTTACTTAAAATACAAGCTTGAACGTCACCGGAACAACTTAACGAGAAAATATCACTGGTTCCTTGTAGAATAAGAATGCTTACTTTTATTAAGAGTATTCTCTTGGCTCCAAGCACATCCTATAATTGTTAGGACTCAAGTTGGAATAAGCATAAACTATGATATGCAAGCTTCTAGCTGCTGTACACTATTCAACATGCAGTCTGTTGTGGACGGCTGCAGTATCTACAGTTATCCCATCACCAAGCAGTTATGAACAGACTCTGCTGCCTTCAACTGTCATTAAGAAGCTGTCCTTGCAACTTACTCACAGAGTTATGCCCCTTTGGCTACTCTCATTTGTTTGGTGTTTTTCTATCATCAAAATAACAATAGTTTTGTGTGTGGTTTGTTTCAGGTTAAGAATGAATATTTCTTACATTACCTGATGGATACAGACTGCAAAATAGAGTTTGTTTGTTGTTTAATGCTGCTATCAGCAATATCCCAGCAATACAGCAACAAATGTTGATAAATGTGGTCTAGCGCTACTGGATTGAAGAACTATTCCTCAATCACACTACTTATTAACTGCACCCTTCCCACCAGTAAGTCAGTGCATCTAGATTCAACCTGGGGTTCCATATCACTCGAACCTGTTAGTACACCTGGGGGACCTTAACAGTTACCATATATGGCTGAGCCATTCAGCTATCAAGATATCAAAGTAGTTTTACATTACAATATAATATCAAACAAACTTGAACAAGTCCATCAGAAAATGTATGAGCAATGTTTGTATACAAATAATTTGTTGAAAATAAAACAAATAGTAAAATTCACCAAATATTTTCAAACCATGACTTAAAATGACCTCAGTCGGCTTCATTTGTAAAGCTGCACTTTTTTATATTTTTGAGTTACCAAATCATAGAACAAAAATAGTTAGCTTCATTGTTATCAATAAAAGATGAAATATTACACTCAAACCAAATGAAACAACTGTGAACTGTATTCAAAACCCTTATAACGAGGTTAAAGCCATGTTTGTCGAGAATATCAAACATCCCCATTTAATACTCTACTTTGTCCACACCTATTCGACATACTAAAGAAACGTACGCTGATATAAAAAATGTTACACAAATATATATTCATTGTTATTTCATCCTGCCAAAACAAATTGGTTTGCAAAAATGTTCTATGCATAAAAGTAAAAACTGTATCGCAGCTAATCTTTCTTGATAGCGTCAATGGTTACGTCACTCAGAAGGCAAGCATGTGGAACTGTAAGGTCCCTCGAACAAAGTAGTTCCGGCTGATGACAATCAAAATGGCATGTTATAATGGTGATAACTGTAGAACTAGGAACACCTTGAAGAGCATGTCCCAAGAATTTATTAAAAAAAGTACTCCAGGAATAAATTCAAAAAGGACTATAGCTATAAAGCTAACTCTAAAGAGATTTCAGTTTGAACTGTATACACTGAAAATGATTCAAAATATTGTTAAGTAAAAACAGTTATCTTTGTGTGCTGTTAAATATATTACTCCACTTTTTCAGACATTTTATGAAAGGGAATTCATGATTGTCATGGCAACAAGAACTCATTGTGAAGGGTGCTGTGTGATGGAACTGCCCCCGATTGATGCAGGTACTTGCCGCCCCATCCATGGCCACATGCATGTTGCTGCGATACCCATGCTGAGAATTGTACAATAACATACGACAACAGTGGTGCTATCGGCTGGTGTTAACTTTACACGGCTCGTCATTGCATGCATGAACAGTTGGTGTGGCGGACAATGTCCCCGTGTTTACCTGATCATTATCATCATCATCATCATTATCTGTGGAATCCAGCTGAAAAACCAGGTTTATGGTAAACATGGAATAACAGAAGGTAAAACTATGGTAAACATGGAATAACAGAAGGTAAAATGTGTCAGGATTGTATCATGTTTTATGCATCTAGCACTGTCACAGCACACAACATGAAATGTAAGGTTTGCTTAATAACAACTACACAATTAAATATATTAACCTGACTGACTGACTGGTTTTACACCACTTTTAGCAATATTCCAGCAATATCACATCAGGAGACACCAGAAATGGGCTTCACATATTGTACCCATGTGGGGAATCAAACCTGGACCAGATTTTCATAAATTATCTTTTTCATCCAGGAAATAAGACACTTTCCTGATCATATTATCTTCCATAAATTAAAAAAATAAGAAAAGTTGCTGACATGTGATAATGTGATTCTACCTACCACTTTTTCGCACACACCATTACTCTCTCTCTCTCTCACACACACACACACACACACACACACACACAGTGATTACCCTGAACGACATCTCATCTCCTAGTTTCACAGACATGGTTATAGATCAAAGGACATGCATCACAACCTTGAAACTGAACAGATATGAGTATCTAGTTCTTAGACCAAGGTTGTTAATCACACAAAATATGTTAAGTGACACACAACTGACACACATCAAAATCCTGACACAAATTTACCTGTTTATCACATGGATAAGAGTAAAAAAAACTGTTGAAAACACAAGAATGAAGTCACAAAAATCAAAAGAAGATACCAAGAAAAGTAATGTTTCTGTTCACTATAAGAAGAAATAAGCTATATATTACAATCAGAATAAAATATATTACAATGAAGGTAACATGAAGAGAAAAGTTTAAGCAGGAAGGAGAGTGGCAAGATAGACAAGGGAAGTAACCCACCTTCTCAGAACTGTTGGTTACATTTGGAGGTCTGAGGATTGTTGACCGGGGTAATGCCAGAGTTTCAATCATCTTCATAGACTTCTTTGAATCACTGACTGGTGTCAGGGAACCATCTGAGTTTGAATCTGTGTCTCCACTGCCATCTTGACTCATGGATTTCTTAATATTTTCTTTGGAACCACGTTTACTAAATCTCGCAACAAGGTCAGAAAAGGATCCTGTTCTTCGAAGCGAACTCTTCCCCTCATCACCCATCTCTTTGCTGACATTTTCACTACTTTCAGATTTATTCTTCTTCAGTCTAAAACTGCTCCGGTTGGACTTTTGTATTAGGTCATCTTTACAAGCTTTTAATTTGGCTTTTAATGATGCAAAATGTTCAGACCCCTCACTTTCCTTTTTGGAAGGTTTTTGTGCACTGTCAAAAGACCGAGCTTTGGAAATCACAGGCTGCTCTGTCTTTTCCGGTGGAATAAACAGCTGCGACAGTGGAATTCTGTCTACACTACTGGTCCTCTTAGGAGCAAGCACTCTCAGTGATGCAGCCTTCTGCTGGCCTGGTTTCAACATGGCCGACTCAGCAGACGCCAAAATATCCAGAGAGGAGCTCCGGTGAAGTCTTAATGATCCAGTCCACGAAGCCCCTTCAACACGAGGAAGTGACGCTAACAAACTGTTCAACTTTTCTGACACAGTTGCTGGAGATTCAGCAGCTATGCCAGTCTTTTTCCCTGAAACTTTGCTGACCTGACCCAAAGATGAAGGGGGTTCAAGTTGTCTATGCACTGATTTATCCCCTGTCTTGTCACCTGGCTGGGAGGAATCCACAGATTTGCTTTTATTCGTTGCAAGAAAATCTTTAGCTAGTTGTAGGGAACTAACATCTACAGATGACGAACGTTTATGTCGGAATTTTTTCCGTTTGGTTTCAGCCTTTTCATCACTGAATGGAGGAACAACAGGAATGTCTTCAGTGCTGGGTGTAGAACTCTCCGGTGGAGGAGGTATGATCAGTGAAGCAAACTCATCCTCCACCATCTTCATGTCCAATGTCGCCTGTTCCACTGGGTTCTTCGGCCGGGCACCATGCCAAGTCTGTGAGAGAGGATCTGATGCCTCGCTATCTATTTCTGAAGGTGGAGGAGGCACAGTGAATCTGGCTATGAGCTCATCGATGTCATTGTCAAAGAAGTCAGGACAATGGCCAACACTTGCTGATTTAGCCAACTTCTGTTGTGGTGACGCACGGACTGGGGGAGGGGGAGCTGGTCTTGCTGGTCTTGATACTTTATGCGAAGTGGTGGGTGCAAGGGGCACTGGTTGTCCTGAAAGAAAGAAGACATTATGAGAAGGCCGTCAATGTCTGTAAAACTGGGTTATGTAATCCAACCATTACTTTGTATGAATGTGAGATATTACGATGCCATCTTACCTGGTGTTGCAGTGCTGGAGAGGGGCAGTGAGGTAGAGAGTTGTGTCACCCCCGGGTTTGGGTGTGAATGTTGGAGGAGGTAGAGCTAGCATGGTAAAGTCTATTATGTTGTCATCCTCAGGTGTAACTGGTGGTGGAAACAATGTCAGATCTGAAAACAGAAAAATAACCTTGTAAATGATGAAATCCCAACTGTACTCAAGCACTCGTATAAACTCTGAAAACTAAATCTGTACTTTTCATTTAAATAATTCAAAAGACTGTCCTGAAATTGCCTCCAGGAATTATTTCATATCAGAGAAGGAAGCAGATTAATTCCAGCAACACACTATCTACTTGGCTACCAGTATGCGAAATAGTCACTGGCCCGCTAGCCTGTGGCTAGTAAAAATCCAGTTGGGCCAGTAAGTCTCCACAGTCACTGGCCTGACTGGCTAGCAAATTTTCATGGGGTCTTTTTGTAAATGTTTTAGTCTCTCCGACTTGTTAAGCAATAATAAACTTTTAAATCCTGCAAGATTATATGGTCTGACAAAAAATGTTCATATCAGCAGCTTAATGATGAAACCCGTGTCATGCCGATAATATCTTATTCTCATCTATTTTTGTAATCTTTTGCTCAGTTTCTACATTCAAATTTCGGGCTCAAGTTAGTGAACTATTTTGTGGGCTAGTAACTTTCAGGCATAGCTAGCCCGACTTGGTAACACAATTTGGAAACTATTTCGCACACTGTTGGCTACACATCTGTAACTGGAATCAATGTGACCATATAGCAATCTCCACAATACACATGTTCAATGTACAAAGTACAGCTGATAAGGCAATTGTAAATATATAAATGTATACAGTTTCTTAAACCCTACTTCAAAACAGTCTGCAAACCCATGCATAAGTATGCAAAGCACTTCCATATAATACCCCTAATCCTTGACTGTTTATATGGTGATGAAATGCTCTAGGCTCAAAGAAGAAGGCACAATATCACTCAAGTTGCTGTGTATTATTTCCAATGCCAAGCATGCACATAGTTGATGAGTGAGTGAGCTGGGTTCAATGCCACTTTCAACAATTTCAGTTATGTCATGGCATCTCTGCTTAATTTGGGAGGAAAGCCATAAATGTTGCACTGTCTTTAGAGGTTTACCATTAAATAATAGCCATAAGCGAGGGAATACTGCTGACAAGAAATCTGATGTATTCTTAACCAAAGATTACAGTTCCTGACATGCCGAAGGGAGACAACTCTGTACATCAAATTGCAGCACCTTGACAACTGGGCCACCAGTTGTGAAACATAATCATTCTGTGCTTGGTTCTCCTGTACACACAGAAGGTGAAGACCAAACTGAAGACACCCTGTGTGAGTGAGGGTCCTCCTGTGTGGCTGTATATGGGCAGTCTGCATATATGATGCTGCTAATGGCTACCTCTTAGTCTATGTACAAGCTAACTATTTAACTCCATTCCCAGAATCATGCATGTTTTAACCAGAATACTACCTGTGATCTCATGATCAATGTAGACATTCTTTCCCTTCCCTAAAATAATCAAAGCATCAAAGACATACAGTCAATTTACAAGGTCCATGTATTTATCTGAAGTTTGTCTCCATGCCAACATCAAATGTAAATTTTACAACAGCGGATAAAAAGATTTGCCATCAGGATATTATAACTTTTAACCTCAAAAAGGTAAACTGTATCACAATGATAACAGATCCAATAATGTAAAGGACCTCCCGTCTTAGTTTTAATTTATTCCATTATTTTTCCAATTAAATTCAATGTTTGCTTTTCCTTTGGAAGGCAGTTGTGACAATGATATGATGGAGAAATATTTCAAGGCAACAGAAAGACTGGAAGTGGTATGAAGAACAGACAACATTACCAATGATATCAGGGTCGAAGTAAACCCTCTGGCCCTTCATGTTGGTAGGGTCGTTGAGGACATCGATCAGCTCCTGGGGGATGTCATCAGGGCTGTGGAGGCCGAAGCTCTCAAGGAGTTGCTGCTGATCTAGGTCTGATGTAGAATGGAGATCCGGGCTCAAGAGGCCAAAACTGTGCTCTGTGAACAGAAACAAGGACAGTGACAGGGAGTTTCAGGTCAGTAGCAGGGAGTTTCAGGTCAGTGACAGGGAGTTTCAGGTCAGTAGCAGGGAGTTTTAGGACAGTAACCGGGAGTTTCAGGTCAGTGAGTTTCAGGACAGTGACAGGGAGTTTCAGGACAGTAGCAAGGAGTTTTAGGACAGGCAGTAGCAGGGAGTTTCAGGACAGTGACAGGGAGTTTCAGGACAGTAAGGAGTTTCAGGACAGTGACAGGGAGTTTAAGGTCAGTAGCAAGGAGTTTTAGGACAGTAACCGGGAGTTTCAGGACAGTGACAGGGAGATTCAGGACAGTGTCAGGTGAGTTTCAAGTCAGTGACAGGAAGTTTCAGGACAGTAGCAGGGAGTTTCAGGTCAGTAGCAAGGAGTTTTAGGACAGTGACAGGGAGTTTCAGGACAGTAGCAAGGAGTTTTAGGACAGTGACAGGGAGTTTCAGGTCAGTAGCAGGGAGTTTCAGGTCAGTAGCAGGGAGTTTCAGGACAGTAGCAAGGAGTTTCAGGACAGTGACAGGGAGTTTAAGGTCAGTAGCAAGGAGTTTCAGGTCAGTAGCAGGGAGCTTCAGGTCAGTAGCAGGGAGCTTCAGGACAGTAGCAAGGAGTTTCAGGACAGTGACAGGGAGTTTAAGGTCAGTAGCAAGGAGTTTTAGGACAGTAACAGGGAGTTTCAGAACAGTGACAGGGAGATTCAGGACAGTGTCAGGAAGTTTCAGGTCAGTAGCAAGGAGTTTTAGGACAGTGACAGGGAGTTTCAGGACAGTAGCAAGGAGTTTTAGGACAGTGACAGGAGAGTTTCAGGACAGTAGCAAGGAGTTTTAGGACAGTGACAGGGAGTTTCAGGTCAGTAGCAAGGAGTTTCAGGACAGTGACAGGGAGTTTCAGGTCAGTAGCAGGGAGTTTCAGGTCAGTAGCAAGGAGTTTCAGGTCAGTAGCAAGGAGTTTCAGGTCAGTAGCAGGGAGTTTCAGGACAGTGACAGGGAGTTTCAGGTCAGTAGCAGGGAGTTTCAGGTCAGTAGCAGGGAGTTTCAGGACAGTAGCAAGGAGTTTCAGGACAGTGACAGGGAGTTTAAGGTCAGTAGCAAGGAGTTTCAGGTCAGTAGCAGGGAGTTTCAGGACAGTAGCAAGGAGTTTCAGGACAGTGACAGGGAGTTTAAGGTCAGTAGCAAGGAGTTTCAGGTCAGTAGCAGGGAGTTTCAGGACAGTAGCAAGGAGTTTCAGGACAGTGACAGGGAGTTTAAGGTCAGTAGCAAGGAGTTTTAGGACAGTAACTGGGAGTTTCAGGACAGTGACAGGGAGATTCAGGACAGTGTCAGGTGAGTTTCAAGTCAGTGACAGGAAGTTTCAGGTCAGTAGCAGGGAGTTTTAGGACAGTAGCAAGGAGTTTTAGGTCAGTAGCAAGGAGTTTTAGGACAGTGACAGGTGAGTTTCAAGTCAGTGACAGGAAGTTTGCAGGTCAGTAGCAGGGAGCTTCAGGGACAGTAGCAAGGAGTTTCAGGACAGTGACAGGGAGTTTTAGGTCAGTAGCAGGGAGTTTTAGGTCAGTAGCAAGGAGTTTCAGGTCAGTAGCAAGGAGTTTCAGGTCAGTAGCAGGGAGTTTCAGGTCAGTAGCAGGGAGTTTCAGGTCAGTAGCAAGGAGTTTCAGGTCAGTAGCAGGGAGTTTCAGGACAGTAGCAAGGAGTTTCAGGACAGTGACAGGGAGTTTAAGGTCAGTAGCAAGGAGTTTCAGGTCAGTAGCAGGGAGCTTCAGGACAGTAGCAAGGAGTTTCAGGACAGTGACAGGGAGTTTAAGGTCAGTAGCAAGGAGTTTCAGGTCAGTAGCAGGGAGCTTCAGGACAGTAGCAAGGAGTTTCAGGACAGTGACAGGGAGTTTAAGGTCAGTAGCAAGGAGTTTTAGGACAGTAACTGGGAGTTTCAGGACAGTGACAGGGAGATTCAGGACAGTGTCAGGTGAGTTTCAAGTCAGTGACAGGAAGTTTCAGGTCAGTAGCAGGGAGTTTTAGGTCAGTAGCAAGGAGTTTTAGGTCAGTAGCAAGGAGTTTTAGGACAGTGTCAGGTGAGTTTCAAGTCAGTGACAGGAAGTTTCAGGTCAGTAGCAGGGAGCTTCAGGACAGTAGCAAGGAGTTTCAGGACAGTGACAGGGAGTTTTAGGTCAGTAGCAGGGAGTTTTAGGTCAGTAGCAAGGAGTTTTAGGTCAGTAGCAAGGAGTTTCAGGTCAGTAGCAAGGAGTTTCAGGTCAGTAGCAAGGAGTTTTAGGACAGTGTCAGGTGAGTTTCAAGTCAGTGACAGGAAGTTTCAGGTCAGTAGCAGGGAGCTTCAGGACAGTAGCAAGGAGTTTCAGGACAGTGACAGGGAGTTTTGGGTCAGTAGCAGGGAGTTTCAGGTCAGTAGCAAGGAGTTTCAGGTCAGTAGCAGGGAGTTTTAGGACAGTGACAGGGAGTTTTGGGTCAGTAGCAGGGAGTTTCAGGTCAGTAGCAAGGAGTTTCAGGTCAGTAGCAGGGAGTTTCAGGTCAGTAGCAAGGGAGTTTCAGGTCAGTAGCAGGGAGTTTCAGGTCAGTAGCAAGGAGTTTCAGGTCAGTAGCAAGGAGTTTCAGGTCAGTAGCAGGGAGTTTCAGGTCAGTAGCAAGGAGTTTCAGGTCAGTAGCAGGGAGTTTCAGGTCAGTAGCAGGGAGTTTCAGGACAGTAGCAAGGAGTTTCAGGTCAGTAGCAGGGAGTTTCAGGTCAGTAGCAAGGAGTTTCAGGTCAGTAGCAGGGAGTTTCAGGTCAGTAGCAAGGAGTTTCAGGACAGTGTCAGGTGAGTTTCAAATCAGTGACAGGAAGTTTCAGGTCAGTAGCAGGGAGTTTCAGGTCAGTAGCAGGGAGCTTCAGGACAGTAGCAAGGAGTTTCAGGACAGTAGCAAGGAGTTTCAGGACAGTGACAGGGAGTTTTAGGTCAGTAGCAGGGAGTTTTAGGTCAGTAGCAGGGAGTTTTAGGTCAGTAGCAAGGAGTTTTAGGTCAGTAGCAAGGAGTTTCAGGTCAGTAGCAAGGAGTTTTAGGACAGTGTCAGGTGAGTTTCAAGTCAGTGACAGGAAGTTTCAGGTCAGTAGCAGGGAGTTTCAGGTCAGTAGCAGGGAGTTTCAGGTCAGTAGCAAGGAGTTTCAGGACAGTGTCAGGTGAGTTTCAAATCAGTGACAGGGAAAGTCAGTTCAGTAACAGGGAGCTTCATCTCAGTGACAGGAAGTTTCAGGAGAGTAACAAAGAGTTAAAGGAGGGTAACAGAGAGCACCAAGACAGTGACAGGAAGCATCCATACCGAAGCAATGACGTTTCTCCAGACAGACACAACTTCAACAAGACCAGGATAGGCACAAAACCTTGTAATGTTCTGCACATATTCAGTGAAACTTACAGAATATCAACATTACAGAATATCAGTGGGAAGTAAGCATTAGCATTGGTGATTCTGCACCAGTGAGACAAGTATCAGATGCTCTTTGGAAAATATACAAGACACACAGACATAAACATTTGTAAACTTAAAGAATCCAAACATTGAAATTTATTACGAATCCTCACTCCAGGAGGAATCTGGCAACTCACCACTTCCTCCCTGGCTCATTTTCCCTTTAGCTGGGCTATCATGAGGCGTTCCCCACGAGTCTGTATCATCACTCTCAACATCAAAACTTGTCCGAGTGTCACCATTCATAATCAAACTGCTCTGCGACGACAACAATGGCCTCTTTTCCAAATCTGCTCCAGAACCACTGTCTGTGTCAGACGGAATCTCCTCCAATCTTGATGGCTCAAATGCTGAATGACCATTGGTCAAAGATCCTGTTTTCCGAACATTTGTAGCAGTACCATTATGACTGGCAGTGCTGAGGAATGTCTGGAAAGTGAGCCTGTTGTGCTGGGAGCTGGCCGAGCTGTTGAGGCTGCTTTCCTCTGTGCTGTCGTCACCGGCAACCAGACTCGTGGCGCCAAAGGAGGTGACCGCCTCCTCGTAAATACTGGTGTTGTGAGAAGGAGTTTCGAGGGAGGTAACATCACCATTGTCATTGTGGAATTTGTTAAGCTGGACTGTCTCAACTGTTTCATTTAGGTCCTCAGACTGAAACAGAATCGGGAGATGTACTAACACGAGTGAGTGAGTGAGTTTAGTTTTACGCCGCACTTAGCAATATTCCAGCTATATGGTGGTGGTCTGTAAATAATGCAGCCTGGACAAGACAATCCAGTGATCAACAGTATGAGCATCTATCTACGCAATTGGGATACGATGACACGTGTCAACCAAGTCAGCAAGCCTGACCACCCGATCCCGTCAGTCGCCTCTTACGACAAGCATGGGTTACTGAAGACCAATTAAACCAGATTTGCACAGGTTGTATAAACAAGACCAAAATCGGCAAACAATAGAAGAATAACTACTACTTGCATCTAACACTATGTCCAGCTGATGTGATGTTTAGTTTAAAATATCACCTGGTCACAATATATTCAACCCATACCCAAATAATGAAAAATATAGTCAAGCCATCATAAGTAGGGCACACTTTCCACTCAGCCAAAGAATATTGTGAACATTGAGCAGTTTCGGGAACCGGTTTGTGAGTTTGTTAGTTAGTTGTTAAATACATCACTCACGCTATATAATGGAAACCTGAAAGTGGTTCAACCTGGACCATACATTCCAGTGATTGATTTCGGGCAGTGATCCGTGGGACACCATGACTGATTATGTTTCTTGGTTTTCAGCACCCATACTGGTAGGTTACACCAACGTGGTAAATGTCAAACACCTGCATCATTTTAAGATTTCCTCTCACAACGGTGACATGCCATGATGTAATGGAGAAACTGTTCCAAGTGGCATTAAACCAAACATAATGACCGAAAGATCAATCAATTCCCATGAAAGAAGCCCAAAGCAGAACTTATGTACCTTCATGCCAAGCTCCTGCTTGATCTGAGCCAGGTATTCCTTGTTCTCCGTGTACGGCGGTGGCGACTGTCCTAGGTCAATCAGCTTCTCATCCTCCAACACCTGGCCGTTCTCCTCCAACACCTGCCCAGCATCCACCACCTCCGACACCAGGTCCTCTGGGTACGTCCATCTCGCTCCCTTCACCCGATGTTTGCTGCTGTATGCCGGTACTGGAACATGAGATTGGAGTGAGTGAGTTTAGTTTTACGCCACTTTTAGTAATATTCCAGCAATATCATGGCGGGGGACACCTGAAGTGGGCACATGAGATTGGAATGCAGACAGACCTTTACAATATTCTATAATAAACTGGTTGCAAGAGTCATTTGTGTGCAATCAAATAATATCCCCCAGTATCTCCTGATAAGGGATTGGATCCTAATGATTTGCAGACCAGTCACATCCTTGTCTAGTAGGATGTCTAAAGACATCACTTTTGTCATAATTTTTTTATTTTCCAGGTTTCCCATCTCCCGCCCATCCTGAATTTTCACTCCAACATGAAATAGTAAAGAGCTTTTTTATCTCAGTTTTTCCAACTGGAACTTTTTGTCGTGATGCGATAACAAGACCTCTTCCCTTCTACTCAAGAAAAGATTCAGGTCAGCTTAATCTTTGTCTACATTTGAAAAAAAAATGTTTCTGTAGAAAAAGTGACTCAAACCAAGGAAAAGACTATTACCAGGTGAACTAAGCTTTATATTATTCACAACATGATTACACATTTAGTGAAAAACATTTTTTCATTTTATTATGTTTAATTGTTATTTTTTGCTTGTCTGCACTCTTGCTGGTCGAGGCCGGAGATGAGAACCATAGAAAAAGATATGAATGGCCTAATACCTTGGCAACTAAGGCTGGTTAGCAGTACATTTTACTCCCACGCTGGTCAATATGTTTTAAAACTAAAACATTACAATTTTATAGGATAATAAGAATCCCACCCTTAAGACCAAGCCTTATCATGTTTTAAACTATTATGAATGAGTTACGACAGGTTTGGCATAAGACACTTGTGTGAGATTCCCTATTTAGCCACACATGGCCATGATCAATGAATATATAATAGCATACATTTACAATACTATGTACAAATGCAAACTTGTCGTATCTTTTAGTCATTGTATCAAGTGCCACTTGGAAAGTTAAGAAAAGTTGGAGCTAATAAAAACTATGCAAAAGCTTAGATTTGAGTCAAAAGTCAATATCTGCTTGTATATTACAGTGCAATTCAGACTGATGGTTTTTGTTGTTGAAAAAAAAGAGAGAATCTATATGTTGTCATGTAAACTTTCTGACAGGGTTCTTAGAAAGACTACACACAGTGTTTAATTTGTTCTAATGGTTGGTTGGGGCACCTGTCGGAGTGGGCATATATGGTCGACACTTGACATGACAGTGCTCTATATACTTTATGATTTTTTTATTATTATTATTATTATAGGATATTTATATAGCGCACATATCCATGCAACTAGTACATGCTCAAGGGGCTGGTAATTTATCCCTCGATCATTGGATGTCAATCTCAAAGGCACATCGTATTATCAATCTCAACTCCCTGGGGAGCATACAACTCTTGCAGCCACTAGGCGCACTGAGTTATTGTGGCTTTCCCATCCTTACGACTATATACTTAAGGAGGGATGTTCCGACAGTATTGTTCATTGATCCTGAACTTAAAACGGATTATAGTTTTTAATTTATGAACTCATAAAGGATAATAAAATTGAGGCAATACAGATTATCTGGGATAGTTGGTATCAATAATGAATTAATTTTGAAACAATCTGCAACTGTCACCAACAAAAAATGACATATTGCACCTTTTGTTTCACACAGACCTCAATGTCTGAGGGGGCTGAGTGGGTTAGATTGCTGATTTGTGTGCTGGCGATCGGGTGCCTGACTGTGAGACTGTGGGTTCAACTCAACCCAATAGAGTACTAGAATCTACACTTTATTGAGAAACCGTAATCCCAGATATAACATATGTCCCATCTGACCACTTTCTAAATGACATTATGTATTCATACTCAATGTCTTCTCATCAGAGGTCATTATATATTGATTAATAATGGTAAATGGTTGTAGCGAGGTCCATAACTAAATTACAAGAGATTAAGTGTAGAAGCTGACATGTTTTTCTAAATCATACTGATGGAATCTGTTCACAATAACGTAATGGTTCCTCTTATTTCACACAACAGTGGAACTTGGACTGTCACACATTAGATGCAGATGATTCTGTACGAAGGTTTAGAAAAAATCGTTGTCAATTTTCCCTTTTCGTTACATGCAAATAAATCTACTTAAATGTGGACATTTCTACAATTATTCAAACCAGTAAATATTCAATATGACCCTCAAGGAGCTTTTAGCCTAGCGAAGTGATCCTTCACTGAATTAATTAATTATGTCAGCCGAGGGTGAAGTAGATTGCCATACAAATTGACCCTGTTAGAGGGAGTGTTAATTGCCTCTTTCAGTTGCTGCTGCTAGTGCTGGGATGCTACAATCCTGCTGAGGGACCTGTCATTTGTTACAGGGGTAGGGGGGGCAGAGTGGGTGAGTTGGTTTTTACACCGCTTTAAGCATTTTGCCAGCAATATCATGGCAGGGGACACCAGAAATGGGCTTCACACATTATACCCATGTGGGGAATCGAACCCGGTTGGGGAAGAAATAGCCTAGCTAGGCCAGAATCTCCCCTTTGGTATAAGAACAAGGATGGGAAACAAGTAGCCTTTATAGTTGATTCAATGGTGGGGAAAGTTTGGCCTAGAAGATTAAGCCTAAGGGGCGAAACTTTGGCCTAGGCTAAAGTTTCCCTGGGGAAGTTTTGGCCAGGGTGAAAGTTTGGCCTGTTACAGTCTTCAGCATGACGAGCAAACACCTTAACCACTGGGCTACCCCACCGCCTCGGTGGGTCAGATATTTGTGATGCACTAAGATTCTGCTCATTTTCTTATGACCTTGCCATGTCCTTGAAAACATTTTCATGATGCTGAGGAGCACTGTATATTTTACGTACAAAGTCAATTTTTATAACCCTCCCAAAGGAATTAATTCTTATGCCCCTCCACTAGGCCTACTGTCCCCAAATCTAGAATTCAACATGAATTTTAAAAGTCTGTTTAGTCCACCAATTAGACACTAACTATATCCATGCACACAAATCTGTTCAATACAGGAACTTCAATTAGACAATGGCGCTGGACAATAAATCATCCCCAGTTGTTTCCCTATATTACAGCTTCCATACCGATGTGTAACTACAGGTACCAGAGATCAAGTCCAGTGAAATAACACCATGTTCCACTAAAGGGAGAAACTCTGTATCGTGATACGAAGCAGATCAGAGAAAGTCATCTTACCAGAAACAATCGGCAGATTTGGAGAGACAGGTTGATACAAATTGTGAGATTTAATTCTACGTTTGGATTCGAAACTCGGAACAGTACTGATTTTTATACAGCTGGATTTTGTTTCCTCATGTAATCTTCCAAGTTGAGAATATTTTTTTACAAAATCACTCAAATATAATCAGAAAGAACTTCCCGGACAACTTCTACAAGAGTTCACACTTCTAAACCTTCTTCTCCAATCATTTGGATTTAACCAAGAAAAAAAATTCAACCCTGGCTGTTTTACTTAATTAAGTTTTTCCAAGATGAAATTCAGGATTGCTCTGAGAAGGGACAGTAATAAATTTTAAAATTGGCTTTAACTGAAAAAGAATTTTGCTCAAGTGAAAATTACTTCAATGGAATGACTGGAAATGCCAAGCTCACAGAGTTATAAACTGAAGAAGATGGAATTTAGAGGTGTAATGAAATTTGACCACGGATGATCAATACATTCCTAGTGATCACAGTTACTTCCCCTTGTTGATAGAGTTGCATGTGTTCTGTGTGCAAGACATGGTAGTAAATCCTCCCATTCCTGTTTAATATTCTCCTCACTGCCAGCCACATCGTGTACTATCTAAAGGTAATATTTCTGAGCCATTTGACTTTTTCAATTGTCAGAGATCGATTTAACTTAAAATGAGATCTTATGGCAATTTTTATGGATTGTAGCCATGTTACTTTGTGCCCTCAATTTGAGGCGGATGTTGGAGTGTGAGATGAACTGCAATGGCTTTAACTTAAAGTGACAGGGTTTATGTTCCCTTGGCGATAGGCTCACTCAACCAAGAGGAAGGCGACAGGCATGAAGTAAACCACGGACATGATCAACCCAAGTCAGAACACTACACACTTCAAACTTAAAAAAGCAATAGTTTCTGAAAGATGTCAGAATCACTGCTGCCAGTCTTCTAACGAATACTCCTCCAATTTATTTTCTTTTTGGAAAATGGATAGGATAAACAGCACCAGCTAAAGTCCAAACACTCAACAGATTTCAGAATGCTTCGATTCTGTTAAAACTAAACAAACTTCCCAAACTAAACTTTAACTGCTTGACATGTGATTTAAGTAGTGAAATCACAAGCATGCCTCCAAACAAGGAATGTTCAGAACAGACAGGTCTGGTCAATGATAAAGTCTGTTCATGTTCAAAGCATTGCTCCAGGAGTTAGCTCAATCCTCATCATAAGCTGTGGTATGTATTCACAATGACAGTTATTATACCACAGTATATGCTGACTATATCTCTATGATGTTTTCTGAAGTCAGTGAATCACACGCTTTCTTCGCTGGCATCGGCATCGATGAAATCATCAGGCTTACATGTTTTCATCATCAGACGGAGGCGCTGAAGTAGCCTTTTCAAGTCGGCAAGCACGATATCATCTTCGAGATCACCAGTTTCATCAATCTGGGATTCTTGACTTGGCAGAATTTCGACATGCTTGAAACAGTTCTTGATCGCCTGACAAGAAACATCTGCCCATGCAGATTTCACTGAATCGCAAGGCTTCTCGTAAGTTTATGCACTGAGGTTTGTCGCCTTCTGCACATGCGATGAAATGTCTCACTAACGATCGCTTGTAATAAGCTTTAAATGTCCTAATAATACCAGCATCAAGTGGCTGAATCCTGATGTTGTGTTGGGAGGAAGAAATGAACTTTGACATTTGTCAATTTCACATGTTTGCAATTGTGGCTGGCTGCATTGTCCACGAAGTATCACGCCATGGCCACGCGACCTACACTGTCTGTCAAAAGTTCTCAGCCAATCACTGAACATTTCAGAGGTCATCCACGCTTCTTGTTAAACGGTACCGAGCATAGATTTCTGGATTGAAATCTTTACCAAAGCAGCGTGGTCGCCGATATTTCCCTATCATGAAGGGTTTCACTTTGATGGTACCTGTTGCATTGCTGCATAATGCAACTGTCACTCTTTCTTTTCACTTCTTTACACCAGGTGTTTTCTTAGAGGCAAGTGTGTGATTGGGTCCGAAGCTTATAAAACAAGCCGTCTCATCAAGATTGAAGATGTCGCTCTTCGTCAGAAGTTTTCAAGACAGATTTCAATTCTTCTCTACCTTTAATTACTGCATTCTTATCAGCACTGGCAGCTTCCCCTGGTAATTTTGTTTCTTAATTTGATGACGAGACTTGAAGCGGTAAAGCCAACCACAGAATAAGCAAAATCAGTGATTCCTAATTTTGAGCCCAATTCCATGCCTTTCTCAGTTAACATTTGGTCATTCACTGAAGCATTTTTGTGTTCATTTCTGTCATCCAAACATAAAGTGCTTCCTCTAATTTGGCATGTTTAGCATTTCGCTCTTGTGAGAGATAGAGAATCTTCCGAAATATTTAGCCACTTGTCCTTACTTTTCCAAATGTCCGAAACAGTAGTTTTGTCGACAGAATGACCGAATTCTTCAGCCAAAATGTTTACTTAAGAAATCGAAACTGGCCTTAGGATTTCTTTCTTTGTATAGGCAAATTTCCTCTTTGAGACGCAGTAATTTGGTGCTTTACGCTTAGCAGGTTGGCAAGCCATAGTGAAAATGCATTGATTTGTGAAATGTTTACCCGCATATATTTATAGCGGAAGATTTTAACAACACACATTGACACTTCTCACTCAATATATTTGGAGTAAAAGTTGTTAAAGTGTTAACTGGACTGGTTAAGCTTTTGTGATAAAGGGATCAAGGGATCAAAGGGATGAATCGCTAAGTCGCTAAACAAACCACGTGTCACTTTGGGCGGGCCAGTCGGCAGCGCGGTCAACTTCAATCGTTCGGATTAACGCAGCTGTTTACAACTTAATTAGTCCAATCCGTTCCGACTGACCAGCGTTCGGAGGCGGAAGCTGAATCATCGGACTAACGAGGTGTCAATTGTATACAATATATAGGGAGATGGTTTGGTGCCCAGTGAGTATCGTTCGGAAGTCGGGGGATTCAGATTAACGAGGACCGGATTACCGCGGCCTGACTGTATATCAATTTCTAGCAGCCTATACTCATCCCCTTCTCTGCTCTAGCAGCCTGTACTCATCCCCTTCTCTGCTCTAGCAGCCTATACTCATCCCGTTCTCTGCTCTAGCAGCCTGTACTCATCCCCTTCTCTGCTCTAGCAGCCTATACTCATCCCCTTCTCTGCTCTAGCAGCCTATACTCATCCCGTTCTCTGCTCTAGCAGCCTATACTCATCCCCTTCTCTGCTCTAGCAGCCTGTACTCATCCCCTTCTCTGCTCTAGCAGCCTATACTCATCCCCTTCTCTGCTCTAGCAGCCTATACTCATGCCCTTCTCTGCTCCAGCAGCCTGTACTCATCCCCTTCTCTGCTCTAGCAGCCTATACTCATGCCCTTCTCTGCTCTAGCAGCCTATACTCATGCCCTTCTCTGCTCTAGCAGCCTATACTCATTCCCTTCTCTGCTCTAGCAGCCTATACTCATGCCCTTCTCTGCTCTAGCAGCCTATACTCATTCCCTTCTCTGCTCTAGCAGCCTGTACTCATCCCCTTCTCTGCTCTAGCAGCCTATACTCATCCCGTTCTCTGCTCTAGCAGCCTATACTCATCCCCTTCTCTGCTCTAGCAGCCTGTACTCATCCCCTTCTCTGCTCTAGCAGCCTATACTCATCCCGTTCTCTGCTCCAGCAGCCTATACTCATTCCCTTCTCTGCTCTAGCAGCCTGTACTCATCCCCTTCTCTGCTCTAGCAGCCTATACTCATTCAACGCTTTGACCACTAGGCTACCCAAACCGCCCCTGTATCCACAAGATCCCAAATGTTGTAGCTGGGACCTAGTCCACAATCCCTATACCAACAGCCCAACAAGCAGGGGTAAACTGGGACATTCCTATACCAACAGCCCAACAAGCAGGGGTAAACTGGGACATTCCTATACCAACAGCCCAACAAGCAGGGGTAAACTGGGACGTTCCTATACCAACAGCCCAACAAGCAGGGGTAAACTGGGAACAGCCCAACAAGCAGGGGTAAACTGGGACGTTCCTATACCAACAGCCCAACAAGCAGGGGTAAACTGGGACGTTCCTATACCAACAGCCCAACAAGCAGGGGTTAACTGGGACACTCTCACTACTGTACCGTGTAGGACTTGATGTTTGTGACGACGCTGATGCCCGACTTTGGACCCACCAGAACCATGGCTTCTGTCTTCTGATCCTGCAACATGACATGCAGGGAATTCAATCATCACAGTCAAAGGTCGAAAGGTCAATAACTTTCCAAGGTTGAATATCAATGATTAATGACTATCCATTATCATATACTATCCTTGATCAAACACTATCCAGGATCATAATCAATCGCTATCCCCAGTCAATGACAACTCAAGGTCATATGACTGTCCATGCAAGTTATGAATGGCTATTATTGATCAATCACTATTCACTGTCATTGACTATCCATGATCATTATAAATGAATGTCCATGGACAGTGTGTATCCAAGATCACTGACACACAATGCACACCACCAGTAAGAGAGAAGACTTTGACGCAGTAATTACCAACAGTCTAGACTTGGATGCCATTGTGAGGGTAATCTAAGATGGCAGACCTGATAATCATCAGTCAAACACCACTATGGACATGATTTTCAGACAGTCTGGAATTGAGAGCTACATTCTGAGGAAAACCACACAAAATCAAGTTAATTTCTATTTGATATTCTTCCTCGTTTTTACCACTGGAATGATAGATTTTGTTGTTATATGAAACTGACTGACAGTAAGTATCTGTAAGTAGAATATAGCTGTACATTCAATGAAGACAGGGATGACTCTTGATTTCAAAGGCTTATGTCTTTGAATGTCACATCACATAGAAAGATTGAAGATGCTGCAGTTTATTAATAATATGTTTGTCACATGTTTGATACAATGCAAGGATGTTATACCATCCATGTCCCTGTGGTTTGAACACAATTCGATACATATCTCAGTAATATGAAAGCAATTCAGTCTATGTATTTCAGAGCTACAGATAATTTCTTGGGTCACTGCCTTATGTACTCGCTTGTGTTAATCTCAATTGGGTACCTTCATTTTCCTTTGGGTAGCCAAATAAATTGTATCCACCTCACTCAAACTCAATTGGGTACTTTGCCATTTTCCATTAATTGTAGAAATATATCACAATTTAAATGTTGGTTTACGTGCTTGTTATTTATATTTGATATGTAACATGAGAAACGATAAGAAAGACTGCAAATTACCAAGTTCATGTGTTGAAATAGAACCTCTCAATATTCCTCAGTCATGTTATCTATCCACCGGGTACACAAGCTAAGATTTCACATTTGTGTGTGTACGCATGTAAGATAAAATTTATTGAGTATTTACAAAAATTCAAGCATATTAATAGGAATTGAGTTTTCACATAAATATTTGTGTAATTTACGCTGATACGCAGCTTATCTGCACCTCTGGTCTTTATAGAGAGGTCATGATATGATACACATTTCTATAAAAAGGATCTGATACAATCTATGTCCCTTTAGTTAGAACATGATTCGATACATATTTCAATATTATGAAAGCAATTCAGTCTATGTCCATTTAGTTAGGCCAAATTATGATACATTTTTCAATAGTAAGGATGCGATGTGGTCTATGTCTAAATAGTAAGCTGTAGATATTATGCATCTTATGATAGCAAACTTAACATGTAAAGGAAACATTTTTCTTATCAAAGGAAATTAACAATATATATAGCGGCCTTCATAACACCAGCCTACAAACTGCAACTGACCAAACGTACCAGTAACGTGACCATGAACACCCGACTGCCGAAGGTCTTGAGTTCGCTGACAATCTTCATGTAGTGTAGTTTGGCCTGGAGCGGAGTCAGCTGCTTCTGTCCAGGTGCAGTGAGCGACTGGTTCATCTTGAGGTACTGATTCAGCATCTTGCGGAGGTCCTTGCCTTTCATGTTCTCTATCAGACTGTGCGGCACGAACTTGTCCAGACCGCACTCTTTCCTGAAACCAAACACAAGTGGTGTCAGGTATGAACCATCATAAATGTGAACACTCAGCTTTACTGGAAAAATAAACTTGAGGTGACGTGTAACATGGTTTAAGTTGTGTGCACTCAAAAAGTGAAACAAAAGTACATGTGTGCCGTAGCTGATTGAGCCAGTCTGGTCAAATGTTCCAGTGCTAACACGCTGATACACCACACTGCAGTTCAAAGTATACGTAGCTGACCAGTTCTTGTTTAATCCCTGTAATGCCTTGCACAAGGCAGGGATACATTGAGTACCATCTTTAAATGTCTTTTGATTTAATAATAATAATAATAATGCATATTTATATGTGCGCCCAATCCACCTCGACAGACATGCTCAAGGCGCTACAGAGTCAAGTATGTACACATGTACAGAAGTAATACTAGAGCACATTAAGGGAGATACTGCTGGAAGAAGTAGGTTTTAAGTTTGGACTTGAACAAGCCGTAATTGTCAATAGTTTCGAGGTCATAAGGGAGAGAGTTCCAGAGAATAGGGGCTGCATAGGTGAAAGAGCGCTGTCCTAAAGTTTCAGTCTGAAGCTGGGCACAGTGAGCAGATCCAGGCTGTTGGAACGAAGATTGCGTGAACTGGAGTATGATGACAAGCTGATTTCATCAGCCTGGATTTTGAACCATCGACCTTCTACTCACTATGTAGATGCTCTATCAGCCTGACCAAAGTCAAGGCAGTACCAGGGACATGGTTTACAAGGATTCCATCCTCATGGCAAGCAAGAGTGAGTTAGTGAGTGAGTTACAACCAGCAAGAGTGAGTGAGTGAGTGAGTTTAGTTTTACGCCAGCTTTTAGCAATATTCCAGCAATATCACGGCGGGGACACCAGAAATGGGCTTGACATATTGTACCCATGTAGGGAATCAAACCTGGGTCTTCGGCGTGACGAGCGAACGCTTTAACCACTAGGCTACCCCATCGCCCCACGACCAGCATGAGGTACTTGGGGCCTGTCATACTGAACCAGGCCTGATCAATGTATGAATATGGTTGGACGCCACTTCCCCCTTCTGCCATTATTCCAGCAAAATCGTGGGTGATGAAACCTGGGTACTAATATATGGAGTCAAACCCAATCACCAATCCTTCAGTGTGATAAGCAATGCTGTAACCACTAGGCCACCCTCTCCCCTCCTTAAGGACAAGCATACAAAGCAGGTATAATTAGGGAAGCTGAATTCAAAGCAACCTGGTCTGACTGTTCTTGCTTCAGAAACATGATGTTAATGACTCTTGATAAAGACATCTTACTCAATGGCCTTGATGGAGATCTTGCCGGTCATGTTGTTGCTGGTAGCGTGTTGTTGTATGTGCAGCGCTGACAACCTCAACGCCGTGTCATATTTCAGCTCGGGGACAAACCTCTCGTGTATCACATCGTTGCAGCACTGAAACAATCCAACATCGGCAAATGTCATACTTTGGCCATTTTTGATGATTTCATTAAATGTCTTGAAATTTTAAACCAAACTATGAAAGTAAAATGGAAATGTTTAGCATCTCAAGAAAACAATCATAAACTTGCTGATATTAGAATCTTACAATAATATTTAGAAAACATCAATTTCAAGGTGACACTGGTTTACAAAATGGATGATAAAATTCATGCTCATTATGCAGAAAGTAAAGAACTGCTATTCCTAAGTATACAGTCTTGAGAAATGTCAGGATCTGAATCAGATAATTCCATATAAAAATACAATTTTATACATAGTCATAATTCTGTGAAAATAGTTAAGAGCTGCCATCCAAGCATAACTCACCTGTAAATAGAAATACTCAAAAGCTATTGCATCTTCCCTCACGAGGTCATATGCATCTCTGGGTACATAGGCCACACGGAACAAGCAGCGGAAGTGTCGGGCACCGGGTCGAGCTGCAATCTGCAGAAAAAGAGTCGTTAGTTTCTATGTTGCAGCAAATTGTGGTGATGGCTTTATTAAAGATGTTTATGCTAATTAGAAAGTCTTAAACACAACACCTTGTATCAAATTTGTTGATTATATTTGTTGTCACAACTTTACTGGGATAGATTGTAAATTATTTTTAATCCCACAAAATACAGCCGATGTATAGACTTTTTCAGTATTTCACATCCACAGCTGTGAATAACATAACAATTAGAAACTGATATCCACATGGTGACCATGGTGACCCTGACCTCTGCGAGTGTCTCGTGTTCCTGCAGCAGCGTCATCTTGCCGGCGGTGTTGTTCTTCATGTTCTGCAGGACCACGTTGAAGTGGTGGATGCACTGGATGTTCAGCTTCTCTTGCAGGGACTGCATCACATCCTGAACAAACAACACACATAGTCATCATCATCATCATCATCTTCATCATTAGAGTCACCTATATCATCACCTTCATCATCATCATTAGTCACCTATATCATCACATCATCATTAGAGTCACCTATATCATCACCTTCATCATCATTATCATCATCATCATTAGAGTCACCTATATCATCACCTTCACCATCATCATTAGAGTCACCTATATCATCACCTTCATCATCATCATCATTAGTCACCTATATCATCACCTTCATCATCATCATATTAGTCACCTATATCATCACCTTCATCATCATCATTAGTCACCTATATCATCACCTTCATCATTAGAGTCACCTATATCATCACCTTCATCATTAGAGTCACCTATATCATCACCTTCATCATCATTATCATCATCATCATTAGAGTCACCTATATCATCACCTTCATCATCATCATCATTAGAGTCACCTATATCATCACCTTCATCATCATTAGAGTCACCTATATCATCACCTTCACCATCATCATCATTAGTCACCTATATCATCACCTTCATCATCATTAGAGTCACCTATATCATCACCTTCATCATCATCATTAGTCACCTATATCATCACCTTCATCATTAGAGTCATTAGAGTCACCTATATCATCACCTTCATCATTAGAGTCACCTATATCATCACCTTCATCATCATCATTAGTCACCTATATCATCACCTTCATCATTAGAGTCACCTATATCATCACCTTCATCATTAGAGTCACCTATATCATCACCTTCATCATCATCATCATTAGAGTCACCTATATCATCACCTTCACCATCATCATCATTAGTCACCTATATCATCACCATTAGAGTCATCATCATTCATCATCATCATTAGAGTCACCTATATCATCACCTTCACCATCATCATCATTAGAGTCACCTATATCATCACCTTCACCATCATCATCATTAGTCACCTATATCATCACCTTCATCATCATTAGAGTCACCTATATCATCACCTTCATCATTAGAGTCACCTATATCATCACCTTCATTAGAGTCATATATCATCACCTATCATCACCTATATCATCACCTTCATCATTAGAGTCACCTATATCATCACCTTCATCATCATTAGAGTCACCTATATCATCACCTTCATCATTAGTCACCTATATCATCACCTTCATCATTAGTCACCTATATCATCACCTTCATCATTAGTCACCTATATCATCACCTTCATCATCATCATCATTAGTCACCTATATCATCACCTTCATCATCATTAGAGTCACCTATATCATCACCTTCATCATTAGTCACCTATATCATCACCTTCATCATCATCATCATCATCATCATTAGAGTCACCTATATCATCACCTTCATCATCATCATCATTAGAGTCACCTATATCATCTTCATCATCATCATTAGAGTCACCTATATCATCACTTTCATCATCATCATCATTAGTCACCTATATCATCACCATCATCATCATTAGAGTCCCCTATATCATCACCTTCATCATTGTCATCATCATCAGGATGAGTCAGACACTCAGTTATCCACAAGACAAAGACCATCATGAAGAACACGTATCGCTTGGTTCACAGGCTCAAGTAGGCCACAAACAAGACAATCCATAATTCAACCAAATATTATCTTTCTGGAATGAGAGTAGAGAACTGCAAAGGAAACTGGGTCATCTGTTCCTGCCACTGGACATCCACACACAAACACTGGACTTCCCTTACAAATGTCATTTAAGGGTGATGAAGGGTAAGTAATGACTTGATGAGTATAGCTGGTCAAAGGCATAGCTGGTCAAAGGTATGGTCCTGAGTTTGTCTAAACTGTCCTGACAAATAATAATACAATGATGAAGAAAAGATAACAATAACTGAATATCATTTTACGCCGCTTCAAGTAATATTCCAGCAATATCATGGTGGGTGACACCAAAAAAAGGTTCCACACATTGTACCCATGTGGAGAATCGAACCCAGGACTTCAGTGTGACTAGCGAATGCTTTAACCACTAAGCTACCCCAACGCCACTGCATATGGAAGAATCCATGAGGCTTAAAATTAGATGATACCAGCATTTCCTACTTCTTAACGATAACTATTGCCTAATGTTATCTGTAATGGCCAAACTAAATCCTGCTGAGTCATCATGATGGTCACCTCCCTTACACCAAACAGTGAGGAATGGAAGGCCAATATATTCCCCGGCAGACATCGAATACATCAACAGTTTGACATTCCTCGGCGGAACAATTGACACGATGATGAGCCGAGTCAAGGGACAAAAAGCCGTAAATCACATGTAAATATTCATGAATGGGGTCCCCTTGTGGCGCTGGAAAAAAGTAGGTGATTACCCAAGGCTTTTTACCAAGACAGAATTGTAAATAATCCACAAATGTCTGGGTTTAGATAATCATGTTACAAATTGAACTGACATGAATCTAAAAGTTGCTTTAGAATAGATGAAATAAATCATCCTTAAAAATGGTTTACTCATTCTAGAAAAATCTATGGAGCAATGACTGAATCATTTACAAATGATATAAATGAATTACAATAAATGTTAGCAAGTAAATGAATTACAATAAATGGTCGCAATGTTTTGGTGACATTTATCATTTGCTTTCCAAAATGATTTTCGGATACTAGAACAGTCATGGTGCCATCAGAGAGAGCCATTTATAAAAAATCTATTCCATTTCTGCATGGAGAAAACATTTCATGTTTCACAGCTCTACTCAAAGAGTTTAGGACTTCTCAATTGACTTCATAATACTGTAGTTAATTTGTCATGGCACGATAGATTAACTATAGCTTTGTTTGTTGTTTTTTGTTTAATGCTGCACTCAGCAATATTCCAGCTATATGGAGGCAGATGGTACATAATCAAATCTGGACTAGACAATCCAGTGATGGAACAGATTGAGCATCGATCTAAGCAATAGGGATACAAGTCAGTGAGCCTGACCACCCAATCCTGTTAGTCACCTACTACGACAAGGATCTTCACAGGCAATAAAAATAAATTGTAAGTTCCTTAACTTCTCCTGAGTAGTATATATACTATTCACACTTTGCTAAGGATCAAATCATGGATTCAACAGAAAACTATGATGTGGGGTCAAATTTGGTTTAAATATCTAAGCTTATTGTAAGCATGGATCCCAGGTTTCAGTATGTCACTGCATCTTGTGGATCCCATACCTGCTATTGACAGGTGTTGTGTACTTGTCAATGACTCATTCCATGATTTGTAAAATGGTTGATTGGTGCCATGAAAACCATTTTCATGGTTCCTTATGTATCAAGTGCATAATGTTAGATTAAATTGACTGTTTGCCTAAAGGGGGTTACGATATTATTATTTATCTAGTTTTAAATGGATACAATTTCAAATTATCAATCTATGTTTAAGTAAAGTTGTGAATTCTTGTGATCCTTAGCAAAGTGTGGGTAGCATACATGACATGTCTTGAACACTTGACTGAATGGCGTCTTGAGCCATACATACCATCTCCATAAGAAATCATGGCTGACAGTATGTGCAGAAGGCCGCAATAACCTGACTATTCAGTTTCATCATTTCAGTGGAATACTTTTCAAAAGTGAAGCTGGAAGTAATCACCTTCTGCAATGCCAGTCTGGGGCAACATTTTGGAGGTATCAGAAGGTGTCAAATTTGAACATGTACCTGCCATCATGTTGGGTTGATTGAACACTGCTCTGAGCGAAACTTCTATTTATGATAGCCTGTCACAAGCGGAAAATGATGCAGGCCATAGATGTTCACCATCTTGGTGGGGATTCTAAGGGATCTGAACTAAAAATCAGAAGCTGTTTAGGTGGATGTGGCTGCACCTTAGACCACTGTGCTAACCATGTCCATTAGAGTTAGTGAGTGAATTGGGTTTAATGCTGCTTTTAGCAGTATTCCATGGCAGTGGACACATTGTATACCCAAACTGGGGAGCAAACTCAGGCCTTTGACGTGACAAGCAGACATTTTAATCACAAGGCCACCTCACTCACTATGAACACTCATTAAAGAAGATTATTTTCGATTCTGAATCTGAATAGAAAATTGCTATGCCTTTATGGTTGCATCTTTGCTCACTCATCTCCCACACGTTCTGTTGACTTCAGGTTAAATCCTGCACCCTATTACAGCACAGGAAGCTGAGGGTAATGGGAACACAGCGGTGCTGCCAGGCTCCAAGAAGCTTGGAAACCACCATAATTGAGGTCCATATTACAAACTGATTTGAAAAACTACAAAGCAATCTATTTTGTGCAAATGTTACTTGAATATCAACAAAATCAAAGACTGGCAAATTGTGAGGAAACTCATCCATTTATACAAGTTATTGAGTGAACACCTCGCTGATTGACAATTTCATCACACAAATGGTTATAATTAGTTGTGATGACGCTAACACTGCTTCATGCCCATGCATCAGGTGCATCAAGTCTACAGGACTGTAGTTTGTGAGTGTGGATCGAAAGCACTGAGGAAAGTTTGTCCAACTTGTTGTGAATTATTAGCTACAGGTGGAACATCCAACAGAGTGGGCTAATCTTTCAAGACGTGTGCAGTAACGTCCCTTCTTAAACTAATTACAATAAGTTATCTGGAGTGAACGCCTTAAATCGGTCATAAATATTTCCCATAAACCATCAGCAACAAAACCCATGGAAAATCAGCAATATTAATCATCAGTAATATTACCCATATATCTTCAACAATATTACCCACAAACCACCAGGAATATTGCCCACATATTATCAGCAATATTACCAACATATGATCAGTAATATTACCCATATATCTTCAGCAATATTACCCACAAACCATCAGGAATATATTACCCACAAACCATCAGGAATATTACCCACATACTATCAGCAATATTACCAACATATGATCAGTAATATTACCCATATATCTTCAACAATATTACCCACAAACCACCAGGAATATTACCCACATATCATCAGCAATACTACCAACACATGATCAGCAATATTACCCACAAACCATCAGGAATATTACCCACTTATCAGCAATATTACCCACATAGCATCAGCAATATTACCAACATATGATCAGGAATATTACCCACATATCATCAGCAATACTACCAACACATGATCAGCAATATTACCCACAAACCATCAGGAATATTACCCACTTATCAGCAATATTACCAACATATAATCAATAATATTACCCACAAACCATCAGGAACATTACCTACATATTATGAGCAATACTACCCATAGAGACAACATTATCAATAAATACTGGTGATCACTACATTAAAAAAGATATACAGTTCATAAAGTTTGGAACACATGAGCCAGTGACCCATCTGGCTGTTCCTGTTTTTGTCCGGAACCATGTCCCTTTTGACAACGCTGCCTCATTTGGGTTCAGTTCACTGGTTTTCACCTACTGGTCTGTGAGTTCCAAGTTTCCCCAAGCAGCAAGCAATACAATCTGAATCATCCTACCTCATGAAAAAGTGGGAGATTACGAGTCTGTGGGGATTAGTGAGGCTTAGAAGAATATTAATGTCAGATTTACGTGGGAGGAGAGTTTGTAGTGATGCAGATCTTTCTGAATGTTTGTTCATCATTAAATGGATTTCTGATTTGAAGCTAAACTGATTTATAGCCTGTAGATATGTGAAGTTCGACATTCTGCAAATTGAATTCCTTTTTAATCCATCACTATTTGTTGGGACAAATGGCAATTGAAGTCTCACATGACTTCTGGTCTGTGATCTCCTAATGCCTCAAAGATAACAACAGTTCACGACTAGAATGTGATAGAATTTTGATTCCTATACTCTACAAATTGAATTTGTTGTTAATATATCAATATCTGTCACAGTGTAGGTAAAAAAATCAGTTAGAATTAAGTTACACATTTTGTGGGGACTGTGGAAGAACAGGCTGCCAGTACACCACGCATTGTGTATGTTGAGATAACCTGATATTCCACATTCAGCCATGTAATATCTACTGTATATTACTGATCCTGACTTGATATTGGGTGGTGGGGGAATATACACTGACACACTGATGTGTTCTACGATGATAAGCCACAGTTATGGTTGTCTCAAAGCAAAAGCTTAGTCCCTGTGTTCTCCTTCCATAGTCATCATTATTTACACTCTCCTACCCAGAGTTCCATGCGGCCAGCCAGCATAGTACCTCTGCCACAGGCCAGAAAGATATGACAATTCGTCACATCTTGCACCGTCCATTCAATATAATGTACATATTTCTTAACTCTTTTATTTTTGACGAGTCTACACATCTAATTAAACATCTTTGATAGAATGGTTTAGTTTCACTGAGAAAATATCCTAAAACATGTAACACTATTTCGATTTGCGTAGCGATCCTTTGTTTACATAGGTTGTACGGCTCCACGTGCTGTCATCGAAGCCAAAAGAAAGCCAAATGATGCTACCAGTTTGATATCTAAATATGTACTGTCATAAACCTTACTGTCGTAGATGTGGAAGAATATATATGTAACAATATAAAATATTGTGAAGAGCGCGCCGAAAAGCTTGTGTAAGGCCAGTCTCTTCTTCTTATGAATATGCGCGTTTGTATACAAACAAGAGAAAAGTCCGGTCACGTGATATGCAAATTAGCCTGTGGCAGTGATGTTATGCTAAGTCATCACTGTGCCGGAGTGTGCATTATTTAACCTTTGATTTATCAAAGTTATGGTTGTTTAGAAGTTCCAGTCCTAAACATGTATTTTCAGCACAAATTTACTCTGATAAGACAATTCTGAAACAACTCATCGTACATGACATTTCAGTTAACATGGCACGACATGCTGGAAATCTCCACCTGCATTGAGTTCAGCATGGCAAAGGCCAACTGAAATCAGTGACACCTAATGTCAAAGAAAAGTTTAATTGATGTCTCCATTGGGGATAACAAGTCATTTGATCAACACCAAGCATAGAAGTGAAGAATCCCTTGATTATCACCTGTTCCTCTTGTTATTACAAATGGTGCAATGCATTATGGATCACGATTGGCGATGATGTTTCCCTGGTGTAAAAAATGATGGATAGCCATAGAACTGTTTCTGTGTGATCAGCAACATGACATCTAGGAAACAGTCTGGTTTTAGGAGAATAAATGGATCAGATGTCCCTACACCTATAAATCTTAAATTAACAGAAAAATTGATTAAGACTAAGTATTGATATGGCAAATTCATGTTTCCATATTATTCATTTTTCATATAACTTGGTCGGTGCATGCTAAGTTTTTTTTCAGTTGTGTTGAACATTCATAACTTGAAGTATTTATGTAGATCTCTTCTACTACAATGTTAACACAATAGTAGATATAGGTCTCTGAGTGGTGTGTGAGTGTGTGTGTGTGTGTGTGTGTGTGTGTGTGTGTGCGTGGACAATCATGTCAGGGGTCATGACTATTGGGAGGAAATTTTGTTTCTAGTCTTAAATAGGAAAACTAAAAATGTTCATGAACGTTAACTCATTTTTTTAAGAGTACCTTGACTAAGATAAGGCTCAAAGCCAACCAAAATCTGTGACACAACTTGGAAAAGTTATTGGCACTTAAGAGAATCAGACTTAAGTCTAACTTCCATCTCTAGTAAGCATGTTAACTTGTTTGAGTGGCATTTAGAAGTTGGTGTGATGAACAACGAGGAGAGTTCTATGGATATACAACTTCTTTAATATAATATGAGCGACGTTTCGGTGTAGCTACTAACACCGTTTTCAAGCAAATTAAAGAAGTTGTATATCCATAGAACTCTCCTCGTGGTAGTAAGCATGTTGTTTATTCTTTGCCACTGACATACCCTGCCCTGAGCTGTAGTCTCACCCACAGTCTATATACACACATCTACTGTCTCCCACTGGAAAATGTCCACAAGGAATCAAGCCACGGTTCTCACAAATCTCCCTCTTTTTCTCCTTCCACAAATCAAATCTGTAATGATAGACTTGAGTGGAAATGACTGGGATCATTTCTGAAAATGCTGCTTTCACTGTGTGTGGTTCTGTCACAGTGTTAATCAATCCGGGCTATCCATCACATGGCAGTATGTGCACGCAACCATTAAACCCACTTACAGGGCTCTGGTGGCGCGATCCCAAGGGGCTTATCCCTGTCAAACACTCATCTCACAGACAATCATTTAAAGATTGCCTCGTCACTTCCCCATAATGGAACCGTGAAGTACTTTTGAAAACAGAATTTGGCAAATGTTTGTCCATTGAATATCCTCAGTGATACAGACTGAGATTGAAAGCCTGTGACACAAAATGATCACATGGAGTTAATGCCAATAGAAAGGGGCTTATATGCTTTTAGTAACACACAGATGGATGTGGCAGTTCATTATCGGCATGTTAAGTTTGTTTGTTTATTGTTGTTAAACACTGCAGCCATCAATATTTCAGCTACATGATGGCGGCTTGTAGGTAAGTCTGGACTACACAATCCAGTGATTGACATCATGGTATCGATCTACACATTTGGGATATGATGACATGCATCACAGAGTCAGACCACCATAGCTGCCTCTTATCACAAGTGGTGGGTAAAGCGTTCGCTCGTCATGCTGGAGACCCGGGTTCGATTCCCCACATGGGTTCAATGTGTTAAGCCCATTTCTGTTTCCCCTGCTGTGACATTGCTTAATTATTGCTAAAAGCAGTGTAAAACTAAACTCTCACTCACTCTTATGACAAGTATATATGTATTGGTTGATCAAGGCCAGTAGGGTGGGGGAATGGGGTGATGGGGGGCCTAGGCTGAACCTTCCCCACCATTATCTTCACTAAATCGGAAACCCTTTCAGGATGAGGTGGAAGTTTTAGCCAAGGCAACATTGTCCCCAGTAAAACAGGCCAAGGGAAGGTTTAGGCTGGTGCACAGCTACACCTAATTCCTTATAAACTGCTAAGTAATTTATTTTGATACATACCATGGACCCACTTACAATAGGACAACTTCATTCTGGAAGTGACGTCACCACCTCCAAAACTCCTACCACTAACTTCACATGGACGGCTTCTCCCCCACAGGAGTAATTTGATTAGACAGCAATTTCTACTGGCTATTTTGAATCAGGTTCCAAATGAATTCAACAATCTAAGGTTTTTATACTAATAGAATGGAAATTTAATACCCCTGAAAAATCAAGGATGATCAAAATGTCTGTTGAATGTGTCTCAGTGGCTGTTCAATGTTTACAAAGAAGACATTCATCACGCTGTAGACATTGAATAAAACCAAGAATGGAATCCAGTAATATCACTTCAAATGAGACACAAATATCTGAGAAGACGTCATTGTTCTTTTTGTGTACCTTTAACACAACTGCCTGGAATAGACTCAAATTGTACAAAGAGAATGGACCGTGATTGTCCACATTTAGCAGAAATGACTTCAGAACATCAAAAATAGCTGCCAGATGTCGTAAAAACTCCCAAGAAGATGGATGCAGACATGTATCTCACCTTTACTGTTGTTTTGTTGTCGTACTTGAAAGACTTGGTTTGCCCATTCTCCAGAAAGACTTTCAGAACATTGGGCATGAAAGGCACATAGCTTTCCTGGGCGGACGGCTGCAAGAAAGACAGAAACCTTGCAACTAGTTAAATCTTTAACATGACAAATTTGTCTGGCGGTGGTCCCCTTTGCTACAGATATATGGAAATGGAGACGACAAGAAAATAGAACAGATTTATAGCTTGAAGTGACACTCATGAAAAAGTTGTATTTTAAGTATTCCTTTGAACATAATTTTTACCAACATCACAGAGCTCTCAAGTCTTCATTTGATACTTTAAATAATACTCAGGCATTCTTTGAATGAATATTGATCTTTTCAGACAGATGCATTTCATACTGACTAATCAAATATACCCAATTTGTGCAGACAGGCACAAACAGTGTCATGTGTGGAATGAGTGAGTAAATTGGGTCACATATAATCAAACTGTTGAGGCCAACCAGTGATTGATAGCATGAGCACGACTTGGTGGTAGGTAGCCTAGTGGTTAAAGTGTTTTCTCGTCATGTTCAAGACCCGGTGTAGCAGGCCATTTCTTCCCCGGTCTAAACTTTCCCTGGGAGAATCTGGCCTAGGCCAAACTTTCCCTGGGGAGGTCTTGTCCTAGGATATTCTTGTTTAAACTAGGATATTTTGTTCTGTATTCTATGAAATGTGGGCAGATTCTGGACTAGCTAGGTCACTTCTTCCCCACCCTTGTTCTCATATCAAAAGGGGGAGATTCTGGCCTCCCTTGGCTACTTCTTCCCCACCATTGTTTTTTATATCAAAAGGGGGAAATTCTGGACTAGCTAGGCTACTTCTTCCCCACCCTTGCTCTTATATCAAAAGGGGGAAATTCTGGCCTAGCTAGGCTACTTCTTCCCAAACCTTGCTCTTATATCAAAAGGGGGAGATTCTGGCCTAGCTAGGCTACTTCTTCCCCAACCCTTGCTCTTATATCAAAAGGGGGAGATTCTGGCCTAGCTAGGCTACTTCTTCCCCACCCTTGCTCTTATATCAAAAGGGGAAATTCTGGACTAGCTAGGCTACTTCTTCCCCACCCTTGCTCTTATATCAAAGGGGAGATTCTGGCCTAGCTAGGCTACTTCTTCCCCACCCTTGCTCTTATATCAAAAGGGGGAGATTCTGGCCTAGCTAGGCTACTTCTTCCCCACCCTTGCTCTTATATCAAAAGGGGAGATTCTGGCCTAGCTAGGCTACTTCTTCCCCACCCTTGCTCTTATATCAAAAGGGGGAAATTCTGGACTAGATAGGCTACTTCTTCCCCACCCTTGCTCTTATATCAAAAGGGGGGAATTCTGGCCTAGCTAGGCTACTTCTTCCCCACCCTTGCTCTTATATCAAAAGGGGAAATTCTGGACTAGCTAGGCTACTTCTTCCCCACCCTTGCTCTTATATCAAAAGGGGGAGATTCTGGCCTAGCTAGGCTACTTCTTCCCAAACCTTGCTCTTATATCAAAAGGGGGAGATTCTGGCCTAGCTAGGCTACTTCTTCCCAAACCTTGCTCTTATATCAAAAGGGGAGATTCTGGCCTAGCTAGGCTACTTCTTCCCACCCCTTGCTCTTATATCAAAAGGGGGAGATTCTGGCCTAGCTAGGCTACTTCTTCCCAACCCTTGCTCTTATATCAAAAGGGGAGATTCTGGAAAAGGCCAAAACAGTTGACACATTGGTGACAATATTTTTATGAGAGAATAGAAACTTTGAGAATTGTTTTATGCTGGTTTCAGCAATGTCCAGGAGACACCACAAATAGCCCTCACACACTAAAACGTGTAGAGAATTCAACAATCTTGGCATCTTTACTCCATGGGCAAACACTGCAACTGGTTACAATCTTTGACATGTTGTCTGTAATACATTAATTGAAACTATACTGAATATATTGATCCGTAGTCTATCATTCTCATGTCAATTTCCAGTTACTGTTTTCCCAAGCCTCAACTGAAAGTTTTCTGTCTTCCCAATGCCCCTCTTCCTTCAGAATAATGTACTGAGAGCCAAATCTAATCCACAAGGAAAACATGTTCAGCTATATAGTCACTGGTCAAACAGATACCACATACTCCATTCATGTCCAGGGGGAGGTGGGGTAGCCTTGTGGTTGAACTGACTGACTGAGTTTGGTTTTACGCCGCTGTTAGCAATATTCCAGCAACATCACGGCGGAGAACACCAGAAATAGGCTTCACACATTGTAACCCTGTGGGGATTCGAACCCGGGTCTTCGGCGTGACGAGCCAACGCTTTAACCACTGGGCTACCCCACCGCCCCCTTGTGGTTGAATGTTCACTCAACACAAATGGCCTTGCTTCTATTTCCCACAAGGGTAAAAGTTGTGAAGCCATTTCCTGGAGATATTGCCACAATATTGCTAAAGAAAGTAAACCTGTTCTCACTGACACTATTCATGTCCATAGAGACTACTGAGAGAATCTGCAACTGAAGCATTGCTGTATTGCATACTCCCCAATACCCCCACTCAGACACATTATACTGACTCCGAGCCGACCAGTCCTTGTTGTACCCATTAATGCCGAGCGCCAGGCAGGGACCAACAAGTACCATATTTTAACATCTTTTGGTATGACGCGGTCAGGGCTCGAACCCGCGACCTTCCGCTCTCCAGGCGGACGCTCTAACCACTATACCACGGAGGCGGTTAAGGCATGACATAGCTAGAATATTGCTGGTTGAGGCATACAACAACATTAACTCACTACCTACAACTGAAATAAGGATAAGAAGAGGTTCTTTTCATTTTCACTATTCCACAAAAATGTGATTTGCAACCTCCCACTGAAAAGGTGATGTACACAATGCAATGTCAGTTGTCCTTGCTGAACATAACTAGTCTTGGACCAGCTGATGGACCTGAAGCCCCTACAATACCAGTGTGAACTAGTTGCTATCGATACAATGGAGACCTCACAGCCTTTGCAGTTCCAGGTTTCTCAATTCAGTGCTTTTTCATTCATGAACAGCTAATTCAGTTTTGAAGAGAATGGGATGACTTGCCTCGAGCACTTTATTGAATCATTATAATCTTTCTTGATTTTTCTCTGAACCTGCTCAAACTCATTACAAAGATTTACTGTAGAATAATCTTTAACAAGCATTGTCACTAAGGTGACATAATCCCCCGCTGCAAATTATCAAATCAAACTTATAAAGTAATGAAAGTTTAAGTTAAATGTCTACAAAAACATGACCAGTCAACCTCTCTTGATATCTTGCTCTTTAGGTGTTCAAACACACACATATTTTCAAGACTGACTTTGACCTTGACACGATGTCATAGTGTATGAAATATGCAAAAATAGTACTAAAGAAAGTGCTTATTGAAAAACATTTAAGGGAAGTCTTGAAAGTCTGAAGAAAATCCAGTGAACGGTTCTTGAGATAGCTTAACATGCAGGTAAAACGTGAAAGTCCCCATGTGACCTTGACTTGGACCTTTCTTATACTGTGATGAACCTAGGTACCAAACATGAAAAGAATCTAGAGAACAGTTCTTAAGATATTCCAATTCGTACGTACGTATGGACGGACGGACGGACGGACGGAGCCAAATACTATATCCCCCGCTTCCTGCTAAATGCGCGGGGGGGATAATAACAAGCTATTTTTTACTTTAAACATTTAAAAAATATTTCCTTCAACTTAGCTTGTCCTTACTCAGCTGCTTCAGTTGACATAAAACTTGATTCTTATCAGTCCTTTCATAGGTTTTCTAAAAAGGTATTCATGACCTGATCTTTCTGTAAAAGACATAATCTATCACTTATGTCCGGTGTAAAGGATGTAATGCATTGAATGTGAGTGAGTGAGTTCAGTTTTATGCTGCACTCAGCAATATTCCAGCTAATGGCAGTGGTCTGAAAAAAATCAAGTCTGGAAACCAGACAATCCAGAGATCAACAGCATGAGCATCGATATACACAACTGGGATACGATGACATGTGTCAACCAAGTCAGCGAGCCCGACCACCCGATTCCGTTAGTCGCCTCTTACACTGACCGACTGAGTTTGGTTTTACGCCGCTTTTAGCAATATTCCAGCAACATCACAGCGGGGACACCAGAAATGGGCTTCACACATTGTACCCATGTGGGGATTTGAACCCGGGTCTTCGGCGTGACGAGCCAACACTTTAACCACTAGGTTACCCCACCGCCCTGTCGCCTCTTACAACAAGCATTGGTTGCTGAAGACCAATTCTAACCCAGACCTTCACGGGTCATTGTGTATAGGACATGAGCTTTGCTAGAGACATTTGACACGAGTCACATTTTTTTCTTGGTCATGTGAGGACTAATACAAAATATTTCAGTGAGTTTTAATTCCAGAACATTTTAATTTTGTACAATTAAGAAAGATGGGAAATTGACACTGAAAGATGAGTCATGACAACACTTATCCATAGGCCTTATATTTCTACCAGAGCTCATACAGTGACTTATGTCACCCCACTTACTGTAAGAACAGGAGCTCCGTTTACCATGACGGAATCGGCAAAGCGAACTCGAGAGGGATTATTTTTTAACTTGGCTTTCTTGGCCGCAGTGAGTAGAGCTGACTTCCGTGACGACTGAAAATAAAGAGGGTAATGATGAGGAGCGATCCTCCACCAGCCACGCAGTCCCATATACACACGTAAAATCAATACGGCTTATATGGAAAGCTATATTTGCTAAATCTGTGTAACTTCTGCCACTTGCAAACTTTTTGCTTTCATTGGGAATTAGACTGAACTCAATCAAATTTGAGTTGGAAGATTTTTAAATTTGACTTTAAGACTTTGCTACTTACACTGGAATTCCCTATTGTACATGACACACAATACTGCAGGAGCTTGAAATGCATCAATAATTACGAAGCAAAGAAAGAATCTGCAAACAGCGTAACATAACTGAATGATTTTGAAAGTTCTGCACACAAATCTAACAACATAATGTTGAATCTGTAGTGAAAATAAACATTTCCCAATTCTACAAACAAATTACAATAATGGCCATTTATCAACAGATTTACAATCTTAAATGTAAAACTAAATCAACATAAAAATATCATTAAATATTGTTCAGTTTCTGTTTACACATCTATTCAAACATTTCATAAAGTCTAAAAAACATATAAAGAACAAAGATAATAAATGACAGCCTTCTTCACAGCCGATATTTACTCAATTAAATATATGTTGCACCCAATTTGGACTTGTCTTTGCAAACAGACACAAGGATATAGAAAATCAACACAGGATGCTCATAATTCCCTTAGCAGGTTCTGTCTGAAAAAAAATGGCAAAGCCAGAAATTCCAAACGGAACTTTTGTTGTTGGTTGAAGTTAACAGAATAAATACTTACATTATCCGAGTACGGCTGACACACAGTCAGAGTGATGGCTTGTTTACAGGCTCTGGAAAAAGAAGAAACTAATTACAACAAACAATCCTAACATGGCCCAGGACATTTCAACAAGCCTCTGTCAAAATGTAGAACACTGTTTGATCATGACAATGGAGTCTGACACCTCTTACATTGGCTAGAAGCAGGGGCATTACAGCTGTTATTCCCCTATGTTTGGTGCTGATGATTGATAACATGGCATATGGTGGTAAAACATCTTGTATTGTTACTTGTGTAATCATTATACAACACTGTTTGTTCATTAGTTCGTTTGTCAGCATTAATACAGGATCAATCAATCATCATTGCTATTGAGTCAGGTATTAGCCAAAATGAAAACATCCTTCACTTTGCTGAATAAAATAATACCTAAAACATACAAATGTTTAAGACATAGTCTATACAATTACTGTAAATATGTGGTGCAAGCATCGTTTAACAAATCACAAAAATATCCAATCTATTAGTTATATTTGAAATGTGACGTAAAATGCTCATCACTCAAAGACATCATTGAGCTTTTATTATTGTAGAAAAGGCCACAAATAACCCGATGAACATCACACTCACAAAAAGGGTTTAACTAATACAATAAATGTTTCTAAAGAACACAAACTATTCTTGCTGCATCGGGACTTTTACAGCCTGTATGTGTCATTGCTGATCATGAAATCGCAGCTTTGATATACATGCATTATTGAACAAACTTCTTACACCATTTTCCAAGACCATACATTGGATTTTCTCAACTGCATGTAATTACCCGAGGGCTATATTTTTACAAGACGTACAATAACAGAAATGAACAGAGAGATCTGAAGACTGTGTAGGAAACAAAAACTTTCCCCAAGATTAAATCTCTTGCAAGTAAGGCAATTGGACATGTAGCGTAGCATCATTTGTTCAAAAGGGATCATGAAAATGGTAAGGTTTCAACACTCATGAAGAAGTGTTGTTATCTGGCTGTTATTTGTATCTTTTATTGTCAATACCACAACTATCTTCTTTTCTGAAGAAATTAAGAGAGCTTTGCCAAGTTAATCAGCTGAAAATGGTGCTTGTCGCCTTGAAGTGGTAAAAAATAACTTGGGTTACTTTTATCAGAATTTGTATTGCAATGAAGGTACAGACAACAAAATGTTTGAAGAATACATTGAGTTGTAACTCAACACTTGAAAATAAAATGCTTCAAACATCTTAATGTGCCATAATGTTTATATTCACATGTGAATATTTGTTATTGTCATTAATGCCGGTAACCTCAACATAGCTACCATCATAATTCTCCATTTCTATTCCACCTTCTACAAAGGAACTTGTGTTTTTATTAACCAGAAGAGCAAGACTGCTGTCATCAATAACTCAGATATATATCAGAGTGGCCTGTAAATACTCGAGTGTGGACCAGACAAGCCCGTGACTGACAACATCCCAGATAGCATTCAGATGTTGGCCCAATGTTGGCACTGGTTTTGCCAACATTGCCAACATTGGGCCAACGTCCGAATGCTATCTGGGATTGGCACAGACACCAATATCATGACACCAACTGCATCATGTTGACATGCTATCAGTCACTCCAGTATTGGCTTACTGAGACCAATTAGAATCCCTAAAGATTGTGGTTTAAATCTCGCGAAATTCTGAAGTGATAGTGATCATTAATTAACTTTTCGCAGAAAATCGTAATCCATGAAGACCTATACAGTTCAAATGACTATTTCATTCAAATATCTAACACCAACTTGTATGATAAGAATGTCTATCACACTTAACAAAACGACGTGTGTTAAGTAAACTATGGATATAATCTTAATTGTCTCTTTCATGATAATATTTCACAGCCTTCAAAATAATGTCCTGATGCTGGAGGAAGATGGTACAAGTTTACAGGGTAATAGTATCTTCCAGGAACTGTTAGAACTTCTGAAGACTATTACTGTTGATCATTAATATTACGTCAATTTTGTTACTGTTACAAAAGGCCCCCCAAGACAGGAGATGAAACATTGACCTCTTCCTATTCATATTGATACAGTGACCTCCATTACTGACAGAAAGGAAAGTGATTTCCTGAAAACTAGTTCAATGTTGACCTCTGTTGAACAAAGTCCTGTTCATCTTACAGGTATAATCTTTTCCATCAGTTAACAAATCACTTGTCCTTTCACAAAAAGCAAATTTCAAGATGGAATATTTTGCAAAAATCTTGAAAAGCATGTAATCTGCACGAGGAAGGACAGGGACAGAGGAAAGCTAAGGGAAATCAATACCTAGATCTCAGATTCGAAGGCAATCATGGCCAAGTAAGAGGAAGCTGAGATCTGCCTGAAGATATTTTCCTCACTGGAATCTAGTGAAGTGAGCTGTTCTAGCATTACGTGACGACTCCTTCCTAATCCAGCACACTTCATGCTATATGACTGCCAAAATCATACTCGTCTGTCAAATTATTGTTTTTTCTTTTACATGATTACACAGATAAATTCTGCATACTAATTTCATACAAATCACATCAGTACTTGCCTGATTGGAAATGTCTTTCTGTTGTGGAATATCTGAACTCATTTTATGTGTGGAGTACTGTGTTTTCAAACACTTACAGAACACCTATATTCAGCAGTTGTACAGCTGTGATGATATGACATATAATGACAATGGTATAATTATACATATCAACCAGCTCCAGAATATAGCATCTGACTATTAATTTTGCTGTTTCTATCCCCTCAGATATACCTGCATCCTAAAAGTAATAATGTATTAATAAGACTGAATATACCTACAGAACTTATAAACATAAGAAAAGAAAATTGAGAGTGTTTTTTCACATTTGCAAAACCTAAAATCAAAGTAGTCAATAATCTTATGAAGTAAAGTTGACAATCTCAACAAAAGAATGTGCACAATGTCCGAAGATACCAATTCTTCAGAATCATTTCCTGTTGAGAGTTATGCTGCCACCAAGTCATCATAATCCATTCAGCACAGTCAACAGAACAACTCTGTAATGATGATCTGTGACCCTTTCTGATGACCTATGACCTAAATATGATGATCTATGATCTATGTTTGTGGACTTGCATCCTGGTATGTTTGTTCGATATGTCATACATGATAAAGCATACCCCAGCTACATTACAGAAACTGAAATCAATCAAATCTGTTGGTCATCTCCATGCTATAGTTGTCATTGTCACTCCACTTCTCGTGGTTTACTCAACACCATCGTCACTCCACTTCCAGTGGTTTACTCACCATCGTGGTTTACTCAACACCATCGTCACTCCACTTCTCGTGGTTTACTCAACACCATCGTCACTCCACTTCTCGTGGTTTACTCAACACCATCGTCACTCCACTTCTCGTGGTTTACTCAACACCATCGTCACTCCACTTCTCGTGGTTTACTCAACACCATTAAACCGAAGCAAACTACATGTCGAAAATTGTTTACTTGTGTTTTCAGAACAGTTTTGCTTAGTGTTTTTAAGGTGTAGCTTAACATGAAAGGCTGTGGCTTTGATTTAATTAGAACTTCTTTCTTAAATTAAACACAGCAAACTACAGTGGAAGCCCTCTAAACCGGCATGCGTTGGGACCGGCAAAAAATGCTGGTATAGAGGGCGTGCCGGTATAGAGAACTTTTCCCTTTTCAACCTGAGAATCTTCCGTGTGTCGTAAAATACGACTGAACAATGTGTTGATAGTCATCATATTCTTGTCAACATCACTATGACCTACACTGGCACTTTCTCCGCTCACACTGAACTGTTTGATGTCATATCGTGTCTTCCAACGTGCCAGCCAACCATCTGATGCCTTAAACTTGTTGACATTTAATTATGAAGCAAACTGAATAGCTTTCTCTTACAAACTAGGGCCAGAAATAGGCTGAGATACCGGCTGCCGGTTTAGAGAGTGTGAATTACTGTACACACAGTCAATTGGGCGGCCTTTGTTGTGCCATAATACGGAATACACTGACACGCCGGATTAGAGGGCGTGTACATGATCATAAATTAACTAGCTTCTACCTGGACCAAATTCTAGTGCCGATATTGAGAGCATGCCGGATTGGAGTGCTGCCGGTTTAGAGGGCATCGACTCTATTGAGGTCCTACAAAAATTCCAGCTTTTGTAATTAAGTAACAGAGAAACATCAATGCTGATACTGAGGTTCTGTAAATGAATGTAAAGTTTGGTGACTGAATGATGTGATCTGTATGTTAGCAGAATATTGTACATGCTCACCATACCATGTTAATGTATCTTCTGGACAAATCATTACATATCTATTACGTACCATTGTCTTAAGAGGAAAAATGTTAACAACAAAAGAACTGAAACCATCATGAGTGAGTGAGTTTAGTTTTACGCCGCACTCAGCAATATTCCAGCTATATGGCGGCGGTCTGTAAATAATCGAGTCTGGACCAGACAATCCAGTAATCAACAGCATGAGCATCGATCAGCGCAATTGGGAACCGTAAAACCATCATGAAGTCAGTCATTTGATTAACATGAAGTTAAAAGTATGCAAAATGGTTCAATGACTGGAAATAGGCTGTTTTGGGTTGATGTTATTAAAGCTATGGTAAAAACATTATGGAAAACAAGACGTGATGAAAAGGAGAGATGAGAGGTGACAGACAGGATCAACACATTACAAGTTAATGATTTGGGTGTGGATCAGGAAAGTAATATTGTCAGTTTCTTATTGGGAACAAAGCTTGAAGTGATGTTGAGAAGCACCACAGTGGCTAAGTGGGTTAGGTTGCTGACTTTGTGTGCAATCAGAGGTTGAGATTAGGTGCCTGATTCTGAGGGTGTGGGTTCAAATCCCAGATGGGACTCAAAACCCAAAGTACTAGAATCTGTACTTTACTGAGAAAGTGCAATCCCAGTTATAACATGTTAGATTTCACATTTGAGCTAAACTGATTTATGGGCTTGAGATATGTGATGGTCATCATTCTACAAATTGAATTTAGTTTTAATCCATCACTG